TCCCCATTGACTTTGCTGGTCAGAAGGTCGCCAAAGGGACATTGCAACCGTCGTAAATGCGAGCCGGTTGCCAAGCGTCCGAATGTTGATCCCGTGGCACGGAGACGCTGCAACGGTCGTAAGTGGGGAGAAAAAAGGGTCATAAAAAGGGTTGTAACTTTGAAGGGTCCCTAAAGGACCTGTTGGAACTCGAGGACTTATATTCAGATAATGCCTGGAATTTCGGCGCAGGCGTAATTGATTTTATTAAACGTGAAACCTTCACGTTTGGCGGCAGTCTGCCTTGCAGCGGAAGGGCCCTGAGTTAAAAGCGGCTTGAGGTGCTTCTGTGGAGTAGAAAAAGGAGTAAGCTTCTCCTGTTTGATTTCCCCCCCCTTTTTTTTTTCCTTTTCCCCCCTCCGTGCAGGTCGGTGTATCAGCAATTGCAAGACAGCTTTACTCCTCTCACCGAGCAGATGAAGCAAACAGTGGCCCAATTGTTCAACCTCCCTGTTCAGGCCCAGCAACCCGCCGAAGAAGGAGCGTGAAGTGGACTCTCTCAAAATTGAGTTCTCCGTTGTTTATGAAGACCTATTAAGATATGTCTAAGTTGATAAGTGTAATCATGAAGTTTTTATTGAATTCGATGCAATCAGAAATGTACTAGTTCAAATACGACATAGTAAATTTTAAGGGCAAAAAGAGAAGAAATAGTTGATGATGTAACCCGAGATTGGTACCCAAAATTTCTGTTACTGAACAGTTGATTAACCCAGTCACCACGTTGCTTTTCATGTACTCAAATGTAAAACTGGAAAACCAATAAAATATTATATATATATATATATAAAAAAAATGAGTTCTCCGTTTCCTTCTGTCCAGGGTATATATTTAGCAAAATCCTGGCACTTTTCCCTGAATCGAAACTGTTGAGATCCTAACGCTGGTAGATAAATAAAGACAAATTGGTTCTCCTTTCTGTATCTGTGTGTCTAATCTGACTGAAAACTCGGGGTGTTAAGGGGTGCCCAGTGGTGTCCCAGTTTTGCATCCTGGACACCTACTTCCGGTCTGGTTTCCTGCTTTTTGGGGTGCCTGGCTTCCTGGAATCCCGGCCTGGCTTCACCCAGCCATCTAAGTCATCAGCTTCGGGAACCCCCTGCCAGGCTTTTGGTTCTAAGGAACTCGAATCTCATTTAGCACCATGAGGACTAGAGTCTTTGAATTGTAGGAGAAGCTCCAGGTAACAGAGCAGGTCATCTGCATACAGATGTAGGGGAAATAGGAGGAAGGAATATTAGGTATGTTCACCACCTTTATAAATATTTAACAACAACAACAATAATATATCTACAGAGGTCATGATTCAATGATACACAATACTATATACATGAACATTTTTCACATTTACGACCATTGCAGCATCCCTGTGGTCATGTGATCAAAATCCAGACACTTGGCATGTGAACGCTTGACAAGTGGCTCCTATTTATGACGGTTGCCATGTCCCGGGGTCACGTGATCCCCTTTTGCGAACTTCTGACACGCAAAGTCAATGGGGAAGCCGGATTCACTTAACAAACCGTGTTACTACTGATTCACTTAACAACTGTGGCAAGAAACATCGTAACGTGGGGTAATATTCACTTAACAACTGTTCCACTTAGCAACAGAAATTTTGGACTGAATTGTGGTCGTAGGTTACCTGTATATATCTATATCTATCTCTCTATGTCTATCTGTCTATCTCTATCTGTCTGTCTATTTATCTCTCTATAGTTCTCTATCTCTATCTATGTCTATCTATCTATATTTCTCTATCTCTATCTATGTCTATCTGTCTATCTCTGTCTGTCTATTTATCTCTCTATATTTCTCTATCTCTATCTATGTCTATCAATATATATGTCTATCTATCTATCTATATGTCTATATGTCTGTCTCTCTATATCTATGTTTGTTTATCTCTCTCTCTCTTTCTCTCTGTTTATCTATCTATATCTATGTGTCTGTCTATCTATCTCTATCTTCATATCTGTTTTTCTATCTACCTACTTACCTATAATATAATATAATTTAAATACACATACACACAATATGTGGCAAGCGCAAAACAACCAGGTTAGTCTTAGCGCGATGCGTCACTCGCATCCCATCACGACCTTCCTTCTACCCGCAACTCATTCGTTTTACACATAAGATATAGTAGTGCAATCTCTCCTTGCATAGAACTTCCGCCAGCAGTCATCATGGCGGCTCCAGTTCTTTCCCTATTTTCCTCACGCATTTCCGGTTGAAGCCCTTCGGCCTTGATAAGGAGGCTGACTGTGGCTGCTTTGCTCTTAGGTTAGTGAAGCCACTTCCGGTCCAGCCTTCCTCTTTCTCCCTGAGTAAAGATGGCGGACGAGGCGACCCGGCGGGTAGTGGCTGCGTTGCCGCTGCTGAAAACCAACGCCGGGCCGCGGGATCGGGAGCTATGGATCCAGCGGTTGAAGGAGGAGTACCAAGCGCTCATTAAGGTCCGTACTTTGTCTACTTAAAGGCAGGGGAAATTATATTCCGGCGGCTACCGTGGCTTTTTTCAACGGTTCGCGTTGCCGACGGTGGCTCCAGAGGGCCAAAACTAAGCCAGGACGCAAGAACGCGTCTGTTCCTTCCCCTCTAGTGATGCCACTTAATACGGTCGTGGGGAAGACGGTCAAGGGAGACAGCAGCCTCAAACGTAAAAGTTGGACTTGCAAAAGTTGAGGCAGGACCGTGCCTGCCTGAAGCATCCCTCGTTGCTTTGCAAAATGCCTTTTTTGTTTGTTTGTTCCTGTAGTACGTGGAGAACAATAAGAACGCTGACAATGACTGGTTCAGGTTAGAATCCAACAAGGAAGGTACCAGGTAAGGGAGATAAAGAAAAAAATATATATTTATTGAGGGAATGCATGCTGCATCTGTTGAGACTCTAGAAAGAGTACAGAGAAGAGCAACAAAGATGATTAGGGGACTGGAGGCTAAAGCATATAAGGAACGGTTGCTGGAATTGGGTATGTCTAGTTTAATGCAGAGAAGGATGAGGGGGAACATGATAGCAGTGTTCCAGTATCTCAGGGGCTGCCCCAAAGAAGAGGGAGTCAAGCTATTCTCCAAAGCACCCAAAGGCAGGACAAGAAGCAACAGATGAAAACTAATCAAGGAGAGAAGCAACCTAGAACTAAGGAGAAACTTCTGGACAGAACAATTAACCAATTAACAATTAACCAGGGAAACTGCAACCGTCATAAGTATGAATCAATTGCCATGCATCTGAATTTTGATTACGTGACCACAGGGATGCTGCAACGGTCGTAAATGTGAAAAACGGTCACTATTTTCAGTGCGTTGTAATTTTGAATAGTCATCAAAACAACGTTTGTAAGTTGATAGCTACCTTAGTTCTTTTTTCCCTTTCTGTTTTTCTCTCTGTAGGTGGTTTGGGAAGTGTTGGTATGTCCACAACCTCTTAAAATACGAATTTGCTGTCGAGTTTGATGTGAGTTTTACCCAATCTATTATTTGATGTTTTCTTATTCCTTTTTCCCCTTTACTATTTCTGAATTAATTTGTATTCGTGGTCTCTTCTCCATCCTGATGTGACTTCTTTCCTAAGAATTGCCTGCCACTCCTAGTCTGCTTCATTTTCAGATTCCAGTTACTTATCCATCTACTGCACCAGAAATCGCCGTTCCAGAACTGGATGGCAAAACAGCCAAAATGTACAGGTCAGTTGTGCTTAAAATTCACACTTGTTCGAGGGAAATTGATCTGATGCCGACGATATCTCCTGTATTGTGTCAATTGCACTTTCTTAAAATCTGACACTCTCTCTTTTTTCTTGTAGGGGAGGCAAGATATGCCTGACAGACCACTTCAAGCCCTTGTGGGCTCGGAACGTACCAAAGTTTGGACTAGCCCACCTCATGGCCTTGGGGGTGAGTTTCTGACATGTTGGGGAGCATTTGGCTGGAAGGAGAAGAATTTCAAAAAAAAAAGGAGAAAAAATTGGGTTAGGTTGGATGCAGATACCACAGTGACAGATTTCACTATTTTTTTTTTTGTAACACTTGATTTACGATCATTTGTTTAGTGATTATTTGAAATTACGACAATGCTGGGAAAAGTGACTTACGACCTGGTTTTTTGCAAGTTACGACTATTACGGTGACCCCTGTTGTCACGTGATCAAAATTAGAGTGCTTGATAACCAACAGGTGTTATTTAACATTGGGTGCAGCATCCTGGAGTTGTGTGATCACCATTTGCGTCCTTCCCAGCTGGGCTTCTGACAAGGGAAGTTTGTGAAGGGACGTAGCTTTGTTTAATGACCGTGTCATTCACTTAAAAACTGCAGTGATTCATTTAACGGTGGCAAAAAAAGCTGTAAAATCAGCTGCAATCTTCTGACCAGATTCCCTTAATGACTATGGCAAAAAAAAAAAAAAAAGTTATAAACTTGGGTTGGTCATGTGATGTCTTGTTTATTGACAAGCTGCAATTATGGGCTCAGTGATGGTTATAAGTCTAGTTCTGTTTTTTGTCTAGTCTTGCGTGTCGTACAAAAACTCACTTTGTCCATTTTTGGTTATTTCCTTTGTCTTACAGCTGGGACCATGGCTGGCTGTAGAGATTCCTGATCTGATATTCAAAGGGCTAATCGAACACAAAGACAAATGAAGCCCCCACCTCACTAATTCTGCCAGGACCCTCCGGCACTCGGATCCTTGATACTGACTGTCATATATTTCTGTGTCTAATTTCTTCTTGTGGATTGCTAGCCAGTCTGTGCATTGTGTCTCTCTAGCAAAAAACAAATTAAAAATAATCCTTCTGGTCTGTAACCGTAACTTGGAGTCCACCAAGACGTATATGACCTAATTTATTTATTTAAGAAAAATACCAGCATGCCAATTTTTCAGAACATTGGACACCCATTGCAATTTGCATGCTGCTTTTTTAAAAAGTGGTTTAAAAGGTTATTGAAAACATAGAATGCGAACAACTTGAAACAAGACCAGACAGATTGACCTCTTGAAGAGCACGACTTGAGGTTTTCTGCCAATTTATGCTATAAAATTGGTCCCGCTGGATTGTGCAAAATACCCGTGAAGCTCATTTCTGATTTGCAAATAAATTCTTTAGCTTGTGCTCGGGGGGGGGGGGTCTATTCAAAAATTTAGACACTTGGCAACTGGCATATATTTGTGTATCTTGTTGGGGCAAATCCACTTAGGGTTAGGTGTCCACAAATTCGGACAGCAAGATGGACATTTCCAATGGATTTACAGAGCATTGTTATGCTTAGGAAGGGGCTGACCTTTTGAGCCCACCCTATTGAGGCAATTTTTGTATTGAGGAATAAAGGGATCCTATATAATTATTTTTTTCCCAGGAATCCCACTGGAGAAAGGCTGATCATAAACATTGCAAAGCAGCAACTTCTGAAAAACAGGCTGTGGCCTCTTTAAGGCCTTGCTGGAAAGCGGCTCCCCGTTGCCGTGGCAACCAGAGGAGCGCGTGGCTTCTGCCCGGCCGGGAGGAAAACAAGAAGCGCTTCCTGGAGGACGTTCCACAAAAAAACCAACAACCCGAGAACGAGACGGAGTTGCGCATGCGCCACGCTCGACCGCCGTCTCTCTTGGCGGCGGCGCGTTCCGGAGCCGGCCGTCGCCAGCCTGCGCCTGCGCAGAAGCCGTCGGCGAAGCCGGCCGTGCTCGGGGCAACGCGCGACGCGGCGCGGGAGGGCAAGGAGAAACAAAGATGGCGGCCGGAGCGGCAGGAGTCGTTGCCATGGCGTCGCGCCGGCGGTGAGGCCCCCCCCACGCTTGACGGCCTTCGCGGCTCGGGGTTGTGTTTGGGGGGTGCGGGGACAGCGGAGGGGGCGTCGGGGCCGCTGAGGGGGCCTGGGCGAGCGGCCCACCGACCGGGGGTCTCGAGAACGCCGTTGTAACCGAGGTGCCCCGGCGCTGTGGGAATGCGGAGAGGCCCTTGGGGGGCGGGAGGGGGGGGGAAAGGGCGCTGCCTATACATTATATAGGTGTCACACGGGGGGGGAAGGGGCGTGGAGAGGGAGGGCATTATTATGTAACCTGCAGGCGGGGGGGGGAGAGGTGGGTGAGTCTCGGCCTCAGGGGAGGGGTCCTTGGGGGGGTAGGCGCCCCCATTTCTGGGGGGCAGGTGACCCCCCCTGCGCCGGGTCGAAGATGGGGAGGGGTCCCCGCCATCTCAGGAGGCGCTGCCCCCGAGGCTGGGGGACCCCCGAGACCCTCCCCAGCCTGCCAGAAGCGGAGGACTACAACTCCCATCGTGGCTGCAAGGCTTTGGGCCCATCTGTGGGCCGGAGAGATGGGAAAGGTAGTCTCCAGCGCAAAGGAGCCCGCGGGGAAGGACGGGTGAGGAAAGACCCCGGCCCAGCCCCGGGTGGGGGGCGGGGAAGAGCCAAAATGAATTATTCTTATGGGTTTTCTCCCCATCCCTTCCAATAAGGGGTGGTTTATAGATGTGCAGGACTCCGATTCCCATTATCCCCCCCAGCAGAAGTGGTTTCTGGAGGGCTCCAGTTGCAGATGTTGCCTCTGCTGGCTAGGATAAATTAATGGCAGAATGTGTGTGTGTGTGTGTGTGTGTGTGTGTGTGTGTGTGTGTAAATATGTATGTATGTGTTAAATTTGGATTGCTAACAAAGAGTTACAGGCAAAAGATTTCTTCTTCCCAAATTTAGGCTGACCAGATGCATCATAAAAATATATGTGTGTGTGTGTATGTGTGTGTGTGTATTTTCTGAGGTTATATATATGTATATATATTCTCCCTTTCTCTCTTCTTCTCCCTCTCCCCTTTCCTCTCCCTCCCTCCCTCTGTCCTTCCTTCCTTCCCTCCTTTCTGTCTCTCTCTCTCTCTCTCCCCCCCCTTCCTTCCTTCCTCCCTCCCTCCCTCCCTCTATTTTTCCTTCCCTCCCTTCCTTCCCATCTTCCCTCTCCCTCCCAGACACACCAATAAGCCTCCCTTCAGTGTGGTCCTTTTTAGATGCCAGGAACTACAATTCCTATTGTTCCCAGCTATGTTAATTACAGTAGTTCCACATCCCTGCACCCCTACTAAAAGTGTCCTTCCCAGACTTAGTATTTCAGCAAGAGCATGTAAACTCAAAAGTTTTGGTTTTTTTTTAAAAAAAGAATCTCTGCGCTAACAGTATCTTACACTCAATATTCCCGATTTCTAGTTGATTATCTGCTTGCTAATAAGCAGCCTTGGAGCTGTTTACTGTACGGCTCCACTGTTCATTTAGGGAGTTTCCAGTTAGATCTGATCACTTATATTCAGATTTTGATTACTGTATTTAGGGAGTGGGATTCAGATGGGAAATTGATTCCTCTTCTTATCCCTTTTTCCTTCCTGGCTCTGTTCGGTGTATTTTTCAGGGGAAAAAAAAAAAGTCTGTTAATTGTCATAATTTGTCGCAATATTGATTGCTGATGGTGTGGTTTCCTATCCAGTGCGCCTCTATGGTTGCTGTTGCAAATTAACTCTTTTTAAGGCTCATCCTAAAAGGATAGGTCTAAGGACAGTTTATTGGCACTGAAGCTAAAAACAGCATTTATTTCTGGGCTGATATCTAGAGAAAAAAACGCCTCTATTCTTGAAGCGCATGTTGCTGTCCATTTCTACAGCTCTACTCATGGGCTGATGTAGCTCACATTTTGAATTTCCCATTTTTATAATGTAGCTTTACTCATCTGCTCATTCGGGAGAGTGCTTGATTTTAAAAAGGCAGCGAGCAGATTTTTTAAAATAATTCTAGGATTATTTTTTTTTTGCTTCAGTTAATTTACACGTGCAGTTTTCTCTGTGTTGCCTACCTTTAAGCTAGAACTTGTTTTTCCCTTAGAAGGGTGTTATTTATCAGCCAGCGGGCTAGGTCAGGAACACACTCTGCAAGTTTGTGTGGAATTCTTCTTTGTTGCTATAGCCTCTAGTAACAGAATTTGCAAAGCAAAGGCTGGACTTTCCCGTTTTCTCTCTGAACACCCCCGTGAGATAGGGTGGAGCTGAACTAGAGTTGCTTCCCAACCTGCTCCACGGTTCCCCAGGCTTAAAACCTGCGTCTGTTTTTGTAACCCATCTCTGCGTCGTTCCTCCAAGTCTCTGTGCCTCTTCATTTTTCCATGAAACAAGAGCCCTGTGTGAGCCTTGCGTCCTGTTTAATAATAATAATAATAATAATAATAATAATAATAGAGTTGGAAGGGACCTTGGAGGTCATCTAGTCCAACCCCCTGCCCAGGCAGGAAACCCTATCCCATTTCAGACAAATAGCTGCCCAGTCTCTTCTTAAAAACTTCCAGTGTTGGAGCATTCACCGCTTCTGGAGGCAGGTTGTTCCACCGGTTAATTGTTCTCACTGTCTTTTGCAGGGCCACAGCCAAGGGGAAGCCCAGTGCAGTCAGCCACCTCTGTGAGGTGTGAACGAGGGGCCAGCAGAGTTGAGGGACTCTCCACTTGCCAGAGGTGTGTATTGTGTAAATTTCACACACACAAACACACACACACACGCACACACACTCGGTTGAGCCTCTGCGTTCAAAGAGAGTTGTATGAAAGGCTGAGCTTTCACCACCCTATTAGTATCATTTAATTCCCGCACATTCATGAAAAATCAAAACAGAGCTGAAAGCAGCACAGAATTTTTTTAAAAAATAGTAAAATTCTACTCCTTGAAAAAAAAGGTTACTTGCCTCTCCTTTACATCTGTTCTAAAATGGAGTCTAGAAACAACTACGAAAGAGAAGGGCTGGGATGTCAGAAGCTGCAGCGATGCTGCTTTCCTAAAATCCATTTTTTTTAAAAAAAAGAAGTGTACATATGTACGTGTGTCAATAAATAAGGGGCAAGAGGTCTGGGTAGGTTTTAAAAAAATCCGAATCGGGGACACCTCCCCAAGATGAGATCCTTTGCATCGTGGCTTACCACCTTGCTTTTTCCTTCTCTCCTTTTTTTTTTCTTTTTTCATTTCAGGGCTCTTCACATCCTTCTCTCCACGATGCCCCAAGCTTCGGAACATCGCCTGAGCCGGGCCCGAGAACAAGCCGCCATCACCTCCCAGCCCAGAGCCACCAGCAAGCTTCTCAACGGGCCACGGGCCCCCAGCCAAGAGCACCGTGCCTGCTGCCCCTCTTCCGCCCTCTCCAATGGGCTCTCCACCACCGCAGCCGTCACCACCGCCTCCAAACTCCGGCCTTTGCCGCCCCGGCCAGGCAACCTGGAGGACCGGAGCAAGAAAATGGAACTGGAGCGAGGCAGGAGCTCCAAACGCAGCGAGGCGCCTCGGCCCTCGGCCTCCCGCCGGGGTCCCATCAAAGCCGACCACGCCCTCCGCGTGCCCAGCTGCCCGCAAGCCGGCACGGTCTCCGGCAGCGTCTCTTTCAGCATGCCTCCCGGGGTCCTCCTGGGCGGGCCGGACTCCGAGTGCCGGCAGAGCAACCTGCTGCGGTCCAAGTCCATCAGCATCGGCGACTTGAGCCACCCCGGCAGCCGCGGTGAAGAGCAGCTGAGCGCAATGCTGAGCCGGCTCACCCTGCAGGACCACAACCCTTCTTGCGGTCACAAGCTTGGCCTGGGCGCCTTTGCCTTGAAGAGGAGCTCTTCGCTCCGGAGGGTCAACATGAGCTCCGGCCTCGACGGGAGACCCGCTGCTCCGCTCCTGTCCGTCCGCACGGAGAGCTACCTGAGGACTTGCAACATAGACCCGCTGGCCACGGAGTATGGGCGTTCCCAAGATATCCTGATGTCGGCGAGCCCGCCTCCGAGCAAGACGCCGCTGCTGAGCAGGCTGGAAGACAAGGCCACCGTAAGGGGCTGTTTCTGTTTGCGGGAACCCGGCGACAAATGTCACACGGGGGGGGGGGGGGAATTGTAATCCCTGGTTTGCAAACTGCTTGGAAAAATTACTTTGGGGCACTTGGCCAGACTCTAACCCAGTGGTTCTCAACCTTTTCAATGCCGCGACCCCCCAACCGGTCGTAGGTCGAGGATTACTCAACTGGTGCAGCACCGTTTGCAGACTGGGGCTTTTGGCGGGCTCAGCAGGGCAGAGACAGCCTGTACAATTCCTTTTGGCTTTTGAAAGCCAATAGAATTAGACTCTATTCAAGAGAGTCTCTTCTATAGGCTTTCAAAAGCCAATAGAATAAAAGGGAGTAGCACAGCTAAGGAAAAGGGAAAAAATGGCAGACTGCGTTGTTTGGCGACCCCCGTGAAATGGTCGTTCGACCCCAAATGGGGTCCCGACCCACAGGTTGAGAACCACTGCTCTAACCTTAGGAGAGGGTTGACCCAGGTAGCCCTTGGCTTAACGACCACAGTCGAGCCCAAAAGCTATGTTTGCTAAGCAAGACGGCAGTGAAGTGCGTTTGGCCCCATTTAGTGACCTTTCCTGCCATGGTTGTTAAGGGAATCACTGCAGCGGATAGGGGAATCTGGCTTCCCCAGTGTCAGAAGGATGTTAAGTGTCAGAGGGTCGCAAAAGGGGATCTTGTGACCCCGGGTCACTGCAGCCGTCCTAAACATGAGTTCCCAGGCGTTCTTAAATTTTGATCGCGTGTGACCGCGGGGGTGCTGCAACGGTTGTAAGTGTGGAAAACGGCCATAAGTCCCTTTTTTCAGCGCTGTTCAGTAACTGAACGGTCACTAAAACTGTTGTTAAGTTGAGGACTACCTGTAATTGGTCTGGTTTTCCCTCTGTCAGTGGGAGTCTCCCTTTCTTAGGGGTGTGTCGTTTTATATATATATTTGCCTCAGATTTTATTTGGCAGCCAATCCCACTAGTCCTGATGATGTTGCTTGTTTGGGTTATGAAACGTCTGCAAGAAAACCACCAAGCTTGGAGAGCACCAAGGAACCCACCATCCTCCTCCTCCTCCTCCTCCCTCTCCCTGCAAACCGCACTCCCCTCTAGCCCTGATGATGTTGTTTGTTTGGGTCATGAAACGTCTGCAAGAAAACTACCAAGCTCGAAGGACCCCTGATTTCAACCCTGAGCTACAAATATTCTCCTTTATTGATTCCATTCTTTCTGTTTGAATATCTCTCTCTCTCTCTCTCTCTCTCTCTCTCTCTCTCTCTCTCTCTCTCTCTCTCTCTCTCTCTCTCTCTCTCCCCCCCACCCCCTTAGTTGCTTGTGCAGTCGATCCAAATTCAAGAGTATGGAATTGCTCCGTTTTTTGTTGTTGGGGTTTTTTTTCCACATTTTTGTTTTTGTTTTTGAAGATTTGGGGATTGGCAGGAAGGGAAGGTATGGTTGCTAATCACACATAAGAAAAAAAAGTGGATTGTTTCCATAGAAACACGCATAAGATATCGCAAATCTCTCCCCCCCCCCCAAAAAAATCTTTTTCGATGCAGGCTCCGTCTTTTCCCGATTGACGAGGCAGCTAAGTTGCCTTCTCCGATGTCTCCTGTTTAATCTGTTGTACATCTTTAGTTTGTTTACCCCCCCCCTTGGGGGCATCTGAAGGGAGACTGCGTCCCTATTTTTACTCGGTTGTGTAGCCACAATCCCCTGCTGAAAAGCCTTGCCCCTCCTCCCCACCAAGCTATTTGTCCCATCTCATTTGAGAGTCCAGTGCTGGCAAAAAGGTGGTAACCATTCATTAATTCCCCCCAGAGGGGTGTGTGTGTGGGGGGGGGAGAGATACTTCCTTCGCCATTTCTGCCAACTTGTGTAGCTGTACAGGAAGTCCATTGCTAAAAGCCTTGCTTTGACTCCTCTCTCCCAAAGTTGGGCAGCTGGTGGCTGTGGCCCTTCCAGGCTCATTTTAGCTCTTTTGTGGATTCTCCAGAATTGGCAATCCTGGTTGCCATCATCGCCTTCCCGGTGTTTGTTTGTGCTGATTTGTTTTGATTTGATTTTATTTTCTCCCCTTCGGCTCTGCCGTTCCCTCTGCCTCACCGGGTCCCTAAAGTAGCACGCTTGGCTAATTAATCCCAGGGCGGCGAGCCTCCAGGATTGCCAAGAATAGCTGGGCGAAAGGGGATTGGCTCATGAGCTGATGGCTTAGAGAGACAGCGGGGAGGGCTCGGCGGTCCTTTCGCACTCGGCACCGAGCAGGGCGAGGCACAGCAGCAGCTTCAGCCGGCTTCTGGGAGCCAACTGGAGCCATGCCGGAGGTCCAGGGTGCCACCTTGGTGGAACTGCCTCAGAAACTGCACCGCACCCTCTGCGCCAAGAGCAAGGTGAATGGCCGAGGGACGGACATCTCCGAGTCGGTCGTCCATACGGCGATGATGGGGCTTCTGCTGATGACCAGCAAGGTAACACTAGGACTGCCCCTAGAAGAAACTCTTTGTAGCTCAGGATTCAACCGTGGGGTCCTTGGTGCTCTCTGAGCTTAGCTGTTTGCTTGCAGGCGTCTCATGACCCAACTAGGTAGCATCATCAGTGCTAGAAGGAAAGGGATTTGTGAGGAGGACTGTGGGGTCCTTGGTGCTCTCTGAGCTGGGTGGTTTTCTTGGAGAGGTCTCATGACCCAGCTAGGGAACATCATCAATGCTAGAAGGAAGGAGGAGGAGGAGGACTGGGGGCTCCTTGGTGCTGTCTGAGCTGGGTGGTTTTCTCGCAGACATTTCATGACCCAACTAGGTAACCTCATCAGTGATAGAAGGGAGTGGGGTTCCTGGAGAGGAGGAGGAGATTTGTGGGGTCCTTGGTGCTCTCTGAGCTTGGTTGTGTGAAGTGCCGTTGTCACCTTGAACTTGAAGCTGCTGCTGTTTGCTTGATGGCTTTTAGGGTGGGTGGGTGGAGAGTTGCAACAGGATGCTGCAGGGACAGGTGTCTAGTTTAATGAAGAAAAGGATTAGGGAGGACATGGTAGCTGTCTTCCAATATTTGAGGGGCTGCCCCAAAGAAAAAGGGGTCAACTTATTATCCAAAGCCCAGGACAGGACAAGAAGCAACAATGGATGGAAACGAATCAAGGAGAGAAGCGACCTGGAACTAAGGAGAAACTTCCTGACAGTGAGGACAATTAACCTGTGGAACAGCTTTGCCTCCAGAAGTTGTGGGTGCTCCAACACTGGAGGTTTTTAAGAAATGGGACAATAATTTGTACAGAATAGTATAGAGTCTCCTCCCTGAGCAGGGGTTGAACTAGAAGACCTCAAAAGCCCCTTCCAACTCTGTGATCCATCCTTCCTTCCTTCCTTCCTTCCTTCCTTCCTTCCTTCCTTCCTTCCTTCCTTCCTTCCTTCCTTCCTTCCTTCCTTCCTCCCTCCCTCCCTCCCTCCCTCCCTCCCTCCCTCCCTCCCTCACTGGAGGTTTTCATGAAGAGATTGGAGAACCATGAAATGGGATAGGGTTTCTTGCTCGAGCAGGGGGTTGGACTAGAAGACCTCCCAAGGTCCCTTCCAACTCTGATATTCTGTTACTCTGGCAAGGGGTGAGCATCCCAGAGTCTGATGGAGGGCATCTTCAAACAAGCCACATTCACCTGTCGTGGGCCGTCCTCTTTGTCTGTTCATACATAGGAATTTAGTTCACGTAATACGGGGACGTGGTGACTCAAACTGCCTCGTTATCCAAGCTGTCACAACAAACCTTCATTTTTCTCTTGTTTTTGTTTCCTTTAGACACATCACACACTCCTGCTGGGCTCTGGGCACATAGGTCTACGCAACCTTGGCAATACGGTAAGCAATATGTGAGAAGTGTGTTCCCCCCCCCCCAGCTCCATCTTCCTAGCTTAACAAGCGCAGCGGTTCCTTTTCACAGCCGCTGCCAGAAAGGCGCCAAGGCCGGGGCAAAGCTGGCTTAAAGACCGTCTCGCTTAGCAACAGAAACCTTGGGGTCGTTAAGCCGAGGACCACCTGCAAAGCAGCCTCCTTAACCAATTCTCCCATCCTGGCCTGTGGATGGTGGCTTGGCATTCAGGGCTCGTCTCCTTCCCCCTTTTCAGAGCGGCCGAGAGCACTTTTCCCACCGTTTGTTGTGTTGTTGTTGTTAGTTGCGAAGTCGTGTCCGACCCATCGCGACCCCACGGACCATGTTCCTCCAGGCCTTCCGGTCCTTAATCATCTTCTGGAATCCATTTAAGCTCACACCTCCTGCTTCAGTGACTCCCTCCAGCCACCTTCTTCTCTGTTGTCCCCTTCTTCTCTTGCCCTCCATCTTTCCCAGCATTAGGCCCTTCTCCAGGGAGTCCTTCCTTCTCATTAGGTGGCCAAAGTACTGGAGTTTCAACTTCAGGATCCGGCCTTCTAAAGAGCAGTTGGGGTTGATCTCCAGGACCGACCGGTTGGATCGCCTCGCAGTCCAGGGGACTCGCAGGCGTCTTCTCCAGCTCCAGAGTTCAGAGGCCTCCATTCTTTGGCGCTCGGCCTTTCTTAGGGTCCAACTTTCACCGCCACACATTGCGACTGGGAAAACCTTGACCATACGCACTTTTGTTGGCAGGGTGGCATCTCTGCTTTTGAGTATGCCGTCTAGATTGGCCGTAGCTTTCCAGTCCAATTGGGCTGCAGTTGGAGGCCTCACCTGGCCCTCTCTTTCCTTCCTAGTGCTTCATGAACGCGGTGCTACAATGCCTGAGCAGCACCAAGCCCTTACGGGACTACTGCCTCCGTCGGGAATTTCGGCAAGAGCAGCCCTGCACGCTCCGGACCCAGCAGGAACTGACAGAAGGTAAAGAAGGGAGAGTGGCGAAGAGAATCCCCCCCCCCGCCCTCTTTCTTAACTAGCTCGCCTCTACCCACAGAGCTTAATTGGTCTCCTGAGAAGCCTAATCCGAGCCTTGCAGGTCACGATTATATAAGCACTCCGGTCTTAAGGGTATAATTAGTGGCCTTAATGCCAGGGCAGTCCTGTCCCTCAGTCACCTGGAGGCTGTTTTTAGCCTCCCGGTTGCAAATTGGGAGAGCCACCTCCCCACCAAGCACCCAAACAGAGAGAAGCTTCGCAGCTCGGGATTTGAGGGCGTGGCTCTCTGCGTGTGCTTGCCCAGCCGCGTTTGCGCGCAGAGGGTCACCGAGCCCGTGAGTCTGCTCGTGGGGACGATTTATCTCCTTTGCTTACGGCATTTCTCTGCCACCCAGTTCACTGATACAACAGCCGCTCTGTTGGAAGGCCACAGCGAAAGGAAAACCCCCAGAATGTCTCAGCCATGAATTAAACCATTTGGGTGGAGGGAGGGGGGGAATATTATATTTCTTGATACAGAATATTTTCAGGCTGCCTCGGTGCTCTCTGAGCTGGGTGGTTTTCTTGTAGATATTTCGTGACCCAACTAGGTAACATCTTCAGTGCTAGAAGGGAGGAGGAGGAGGACTGGGGGGGTCCTGGGTGCTCTCTGAGCTTGGTGGTTTTCTTGCAGACGTCTCATGACCCAACTAGGTAACGTCTTCAGTGCTAGAAGGGAGTGGGGTTTGCTCTCTGTTTATATATAATATAACCCTACTCCCTTCTAGCACTGATGACGTTACCTAGTTGGGTCATGAAACGTCTGCAAGAAAATAGACCAGCTCAGAGAGCACCAAGGACCCCTCAATAATCCTCCTTCTCCTCCTCCTCCTCCTCCTCCTCCTCCTCCTCCTCCTCCTCCTCCTCCTCCTCCTCCTCCTCTTCCTCCTCTCTGCAAACTGCAGAGGCTTTAGGAATTAATCCTCAACAGGATGTATAGAATAGACTTAGTCTATTAACTTATTGACCCAGTGAATTGTGCATCAAAATAGAAAAATCCATGCTGTGAGCTTTTGGGCAAGATGCTGATAGTCGGAGTAAGAGGGAAACTGACCGGTGTATGGGTGTCTGTGTCCCCTTCTTCTTTCCAGCCTTGGCGGACGTCATCGCCACACTGTGGCATCCCGATACCAGCGAGGCTGCCAACCCTAGCCGCTTTAAGTCCGTCTTTCAGAAATACGTCCCATCTTTTACAGGATACAGGTGAGACGTGCCCGATCGCCTCCACTTGTGTATAACAGCCCACCTGTTTTTCCTCGTGCTCACTAGAAGCAAAAGTTGTACTCTTACACACTCTGCAGTACTGTGTTTCACAAGCTTAGCCATTTTGAGAAGGGGAGAAGTTCAGTTCCCAGAATTCCCCAGCCAATGTGTTTTAAGATGGGTGGACTTCAACTCCCAGAATTCTTCAACCAGCATTTACTAAAGTGGATGGACTTCAACTCCCAGAATTCCGCAGGCAACTTTATTTAAAATAGGTGGAGTTCAGCTCCCAGCATTCCCCAGCCAGCATGCTTTAAGATGGGTGGAGTTCAGCTCCCAGAATTCCCCAGCCAGCATGCTTTAAGATGTCTGAACTTCAACTCCCAGAATTCCCTAGCTGGCTTGATTGAAGATAAATGGATTTCAACTCCCAGAATTCCCCAGCCAGCCTGCTTTAAGCTGGGTCGATTCCAACTTCCAGAATGCCCTAACCAGCATGCTTTCAGAGGGGTGGACTTCAATTCCCAGAATTCCCTAATCAGCTTAAAATTGGTAAGATGTGGGAAACAGTGCTGTCGTATATTAGAGGCCAGGTCATGTACTGCCTAGCTATATCTGCCTATCTATAAAAAATATTTGAATTTTTAAAAAGGATTTACGCTGAATCTCTTTTGTCTTGGGGTGTGTTTTATCTCACACTTTGGAAAATAACCCCAGCTTGTGATCCTTCGTCCCCTTTTCCTTCTAGCCAGCAAGACGCCCAGGAGTTTTTGAAGTTCCTCATGGATCGGCTCCACGTGGAGATCAACCGGAAGGGCCGTAAAAGTCCCTGCATTCTCTCGGATGCTAAGTGGCCCTCGGTACTAGAGGACTCCGAAACTTTGAGGTGAGCCAGGGCCAAAAAAAAAAAAGGATATTTCATTGTGTATTCAAACTCTTTTAATTTATTGCTTGGTGTCACCATTGCACAGATTTTGTGACATTTTACAACAGTAAAGGAGGCTTTTTTCCTTTTTTTAATCAGACATGGGTTACCATCAATGCTTTTTTAAATATCTTTTTCTTTTCTGTCTTGTTGTGGATTATTAATTTCTTTTATTTTGTTTTTTAAACTTCCTTTCGCTTGGTTTTGACATTTTTTTTCCTGTGAAATTTTCTTTGTATCTGCTTGCCTTTTTGTATCAGCTTCATATATTTGATACGGTCTGTTGACTTCATCGTAAAGTGTTTTTTTTTTCCCTTGTTCTGTTTTTGGAAGTGAGCTGGCTGTTCCTTTTTGTATCATTTTCTATTTTTTTTTAAACTTGTCCTAAAATAAACAAAGTACTATTTTTTTAAAAAAGTAAAAATAAATGAATCGCCTTTTGTTTTCTTGTTTTCAAAACCTGAACGCCAAGGAAACTAGTTTTTCTTTGCTTAAAAAATGTGGGTGCATTAGTTGACACACAATAATAACTCTATTTTGGCCCCAATCTCCCTCCCTCCCTCCCTCTCTCCCTCCCTCCCTCCCTCCCTCCCTCCCTCCCTTCCTTCCTTCCTTCCTTCCCACTCTCTCTCTCCCTCTCTTCCCTTCCATCCACCCACCTTCCTTCCTTCCTTCCTTCCTTCCTTCCTTCCTTCCTTCCTTCCTTCCTTCCTTCCTTCCTTCCTTCCTTCCTTCCTTCCCACTCTCTCTCTCCCTCTCTTCCCTTCCATCCACCTTCCTTCCTTCCTTCCTCTCTCTCAATTTCTTTCCCCCCCCCCCTCTCCTTGGGTTTCTGCTCTCCTTCCAGTGACGACGAACAAGCTAACCAGATGTGGAAACGCTACTTAGAAAGAGAAGACAGTAAAATAGTAGGTGAGTAGGCCCTCACTTTGCCACTAAGAGAGCAGTCATTAAGCAAGGACTGACGGTACCGTTGCTTTGGGTCTAACAGGCAAACTGTTTTGATCCCAAGATTCCACCCTGATCCTTGTAGTAACAGAACCTCGTTTCCTATCTTCTCTCTCCTCCTCCTCCTCTCTCTCTTTCCCCCAGACCTCTTTGTCGGCCAGCTGAAGAGTTGCCTCAAGTGTCAGGTTTGCGGCTACCGGTCAACCACCTTTGAAGTTTTCTGCGACCTCTCCCTGCCTATCCCCAAGGTGAGTCTCCAAGGGATCATCCAGGGCGGCAGCCAAGCGACAGCCTACCTCAGACACGTTTCCCCGAGGATAAAATGGGAGCAGGCAAGAACTGTGTCTGCCAGTTTGAAACTTTTTTTTGGGGGGGGGGAAAGACGGGATAAAATGGTGATTATCAGCAGCACATACAATACTACGTGCTGACAAAGATGTTGAGACTCTGGAAAGAGTGCAGAGAAAAGCAACAAAGATGATTAGAGGACTGGAGGCTAAAACATACAAGGAACGGTTGCTGGAATTGGGGATGTCTAGTTTAACGAAGAGAAGGACGAGGGGGGACACGATAGCAGCCTTCCAGTATCTGAGGGGCTGCCCCAAAGAAGAGGCAATTAAGCTATTTTCCAAAGTGCCTGAAGGCAGGACAAGAAGCAACAGATGAAAACTAACCAAAGAGAGAAGCAACCTAGAACTAAGGAGAAATTTCCTGACAGTGAGAACAATTAATCAGTGGAACCACCTGCCTCCAGAAGCGGTGGATGCTCCAACACTGGAAGTTTTTAAGAAGAGACTGGACAGCCATTTGGCTGTAATGTTATAGGGTTTCCTGCCTGAGCAGGGGGTCGGATTAGATGACCTCCAAGATCCCTTCCAACTCCATTATTCTGCTATTCTGTTTTCCTTCCTTCCTTCCTTCCTTCCTTCCTTCCTTCCTTCCTTACTTACTTACTTACTTACTTACTTACTTACTTACTTACTTACTTACTCACTCATCACTGGAGGTTCTTAAGAAGAGATTGGGCAGCCATTTGCCCCAACTGGGCACAGGGTCTCCTGCCTGAGCAGGGGGTTGGACCAGACGACCTCCAAGGTCCCTTCCAACTCTATGATTATTATTATTAACTTGTATTCGGGCTTCCTCCTGGCAAACGGCGAGGCTGGGGGTATTTTTTCCCCCCCAACCCAACGCTTTGTTTGCGTTTCGCAGAAAGGATTCGCCGGCGGGAAAGTCTCGCTGCTCGACTGTTTCAACCTTTTCACCAAGGAAGAGGAGCTGGATTCTGAAAACGCCCCAGTAAGATTTTTTCTTTTTTCCCCTCCCGTTCTTGGGGGGGGGATTCCTCTTCTGGGTGCAGAAGACATTTCAGCCCAGGAGATTAAGGACTGTAGTCGTGCTGGCTTGCTTTGATTGCGACCTCTGGCTTCCATTCGGTCGTTGTGGGTAGGGGGGTGAAATTGGTCAACGATGCAGGGAAGGAAGCAGAGGCCGCACCAGCAATACACAGCAAAGGAATGAAGTGAGCAGATCTCTGTCTGGATGTAGATAGTCCTCGACTTACAACAGTTCATTTAGTGACCAAGCCAAACTCACTCTTTTCTCTCTCTTTCTCTCTCTCTCTCTTTGGCCAAGGTATGTGACAAATGCCGACAGAGGACCCGAAGCACCAAGAAACTGACCATCCAGCGCTTCCCCCGTATTCTCGTGCTACGTATCCTTTCCCGTTATTTGCTTCTGTGTTTCTCCTGGTTTTTTTGGGGGGGGTGGGTGGGTGAGTGGGTGGGTGGGTGGGTGGGAGAAGTGCAGGAGAAAGAGGGAGAAAGGCGACGTGTTGTAAGCCCCTTCCCCCCCTCCCCGGAGTCACCTAACAGCAAGAATGGGCTGCCTATAAATGTAACAAAAGGAATTAAAGAAATGAAAGCTCTAAGCGCGGCTTCGGAAGCAGCCCAGCCTGAGTTGAGTCTTGGAGAAAAAACGACATTGGCAAAAGCCGTCACTTGCTCCTTAACCCCCGGTGGTCTCAGATCTCAACCGTTTTTCCACCACCCGCTATTCCATTAAGAAATGTTCTGTATATGTGGATTTCCCCCTCCAGCAGCTCAACCTGAAGGAGTTTGCCAGCGAAAAGGCCGGTCAGTCATTTTCTGAATTGGGGATGATTCTTTTGGGGTGTCTTTTTAAAGAATAGAATAGAATAGAATTCTTTATTAGCCAAATGTGATTGGACACACACAAGGAATGCAGAAGCTCTCAGGGTACAGACAAGCAACAAGAATAGAATGGAGTGGAGTGGAGTGGACCAGAAAATGGAAAGAATAGAATAGAATAGAATAGAATAGAATAGAATAGAATAGAATAGAATAGAATAGAATAGAATAGAATAGAATAGAATAGAGGGTTGGACTCGATGACCTCCAAGGTCCCTTCCAACTTTATTATTATTAATAGAATAGAATATAGAATAGAATAGAATAGAATATAAATAAGAAGAAATAAAAAGTAAGAATAGAATAAGAAATAGGAATAGAATAGAATAGAATAGAATAGAATAGAATAGAATAGAATAGAATAGAATAGAATAGGAAATAAATAAGAAATAAGAACAGAATAAGAAATAGGAATAGAATAAAAAATAGGAATAGAATAAAATAGAATAGAATAAGAAATTAGAATAGAATGGAATGGAATGGAATGGACTAGAATAGAATAGAATACTTTATTAGCCAAGTGTGATTGGACACAAAAGGAATTTGTCTCTGGTGCAGAATCTCTCAGTGTACAGACAAGCAACAAGTGATAAATCATGATCATAACCGTAAATCATCATAAATCATAAATACAAACACCAAGTGATTAGTCCCTAAGATGCTTAAGGAATAGGTATTAAGAAAGAGGAGGAGGATTGAATAGTAGCATCCAACCTGCGTTTTTAAACATGGCCTAAGGATCCAGGAAGCAGAGGAGGGTATTCCAGCATAGCTGACATGCCCTTTTCTCTCTTTTCAAGGCACCCCAGTATACAACCTCTACGCCTTGTGCAATCACTCCGGAAGCGTCCACTACGGTCATTACACAGCCTTCTGCAAGGATCAGTCTGGCTGGCGAGTTTTTAACGATTCCCGGTAAGTGTGCGCGGGTGCCTTTAAATGGTGCACACCATTGAAATGTCCGTGGACGTTCTCAGCGGTGTGTGGAGAAACGAAAGACAGAAAACAACATCCAGTTGTGTCATACAGGCAGCCCTTGACACACAGCCCCTTGTTTAATGACTGTTCCACGTGACAATCCCCCAGAAAAAAAAAGGGACTCGGGGCTTAGTTTTTCCACCCTTAACGGCCGTCGCAGCATTCCCTGTGGCTCACGGGATCAAAATTCCAACTGCTTGGAAACTTACCTTACTACAGCTAGTCCTTGACTTGACAACGTGTCATTTAGTGACCGTTTGAAGTTACAATGGCACGGGAAAAAAAGGGACTTTTTCACACTTTAAACCATCCTGGCGTCCCCCAGGGTCACGGGATTCAAAATTCAGACGCTTGGCGACTGACTCCTATTTATGACGGTCACAGCGTCTCGGGGGGTCACACGATCCCCTCTTTGTGCCCTGTCAAGCCGAGGGGCGAAGCCAGATTCACTTAACAATGGCGTTACTAACTTAGCCGCCGCAGTGACTCGTTTAACAACGGTGGCAAGAAAAGCCGTGAAACGGGGCTGGATTCACAGCTTGACTCGCCCAGGGATGGGAAATTTGAGTTCCCTTGCGGTACGTAAGTTGAGGACTAATATGCATCCAGGCATATTAACTCTCTCCTTCCCCCCCCTCGCCCCTTCCCTAATTTCACCCCTCTTTTTGCAGGGTGTCGCCGATCAGCGAGAATCAGATCCCCTCCAGCGAAGGTTACGTACTTTTTTACGAGCTGGATGACTTCCACTGGAAGAAACAGTAAAAAAAAAAAAAAATTTAAAGTATTGACTGGCAGCCCCTCTTTGACCTACAGGCCCCTCAAGACACGCACACCTGGGTCTTTTTAATCTTCAGAGAAAAAGGGGGTGGTGGGGAGGGGGGGGGAAGCAGTGGCGAGGGGGTAAAAAAATTGTAATAAAACCAACAAGCGATATCCGCGTGTGATTTGTTTCTCCAAAGCCCCCCCTCCCCCCGGGGTTTCTGTTTCCTACAACTTTATCCAGGTTTATTTTTGGCTTTTTAAAACTTTTTTTTTTTTGCCTCTGGGGGGGGGGGGTTGTTCCTGAATTGTCCAGAATTTTTAAGATAAAGGGGGAGAAATTTCCTGATAATTAGAACAATTAATCAGTGGAACAACCTGCCACCAGAAGCTGTGAACGCTCCAACACTGGAAGTTTTTAAGAAGAGACTAGACAGCCATTTATTTGTCTGAAACGGTCTAGGGTTTCCTGCCCGGGCAGGGGGTTGGACTAGGTGACCTCCAAGGTCCCTCATGATGTTATGATGATGATGATGATGATGATGATGATGACTAAAAATGGTAGGAAAATGAGGATTGGAGGATTGAAACCTCAGAATGGGATGCAGCATTATCCTCGCCTGCGCATCCGTGTTTTTTTTCCCCCTTTCTTCGCCTCTTTCCCTTCCTTTCCCAGCTTCTCCCTAAAACCCTCAGGGCCAAAATAAGGTGTGCTATGACACACACACACACGTATACACCTCGGTCAGAGACTGGGGCATTGTGCTTGGTTTTAACAACTTTCTACACAACGAAGGCTTTGTTTGACATGTGCAGTAGACGATTGAGAGAAAATGAAGAGATTTTTGTGAATAAATTTATTTAACAAAAGAAAAAAGAAAAAAAAACGAAACATCCCACGTTGTCTTGGTTCTTTTGGGGAGGGGGATATACGAGTCTCGAAAGGGCCGGCGTTTTGAAAAGGGTCTTCAGTTGTGGGATCCCTGGAGAATTTGGGGGAGGGGACTGAGAATGTCTATGTTTAACTGATCTAATAGTCTGATGCTTACAGAGGGGGAAAAAAAACCACGTCCTAATTGATAGGGACATCTTGACGAGGACGAACTATTCCCGTCAGATGCGAAACGCACAAACTCTCTTTGCTTTGCTGGAGTTAATGAAGTGAGATAGACTGCGTCTCAATGTGGAGGTTCCATTAAGGCATCCAGTCTCAACAGCCGACGAGAATTGCCATTTTCCATCAGTTATCAATGTCTGGAACTGAATTGTCTACACAACCTGAATTTCTTTCCCTTGGGGTCAAAGTGGTAGAAAGCAAAAATACCGGCGGTTTGGTGATGCAGGCTTATATGTCTTAATTTAAGGTCTGTCGCTGCCTCTATAACTTGTTTTTCTTTGCAAATTTGCAATTTCCTCTAGGCTAATAGGCTGTGTGTGTGTGTGTGTCTGGTGTTTCTTTGTGTGCACGGCTATGTGTGTCTGTGTGGGGGGGGGGGTTGTAGTAATTCCTGCACAATTCTGAAACTGGATTAGCGAGACAGGAGGCACATAAAGTTAATAAAACTAATTTTTAATGTCATTTCATTGATAATAAGGAATACAAATTTAGCCCTCGGGACCCATGTGGAACTGCCTCATGGGGACAAAATTAGCACAAAGAGGATGTAGAACCTCCAGCGACAGAGAGTCTATAGGCCTGAGCTCCCCAGAGTATTTTTTTTAAAAATAGCATTCAGTGAATAGGGACGGCAGGCGTTTCATTGTGAGTCAAAATGTAACTTAAATCATTACTAGACACTGAGATGATTAATAATTGCAGTAATCTATACTGCCTCATTCTAAAGCCCACAACAGCCCTGCAGAGTGGTGCAATCACGTCCAAAGTGGCTTTTATCTCCCTGTCTTATATCAAAAGAAATGAAAATCCTAGTCCTCATGAATTTATCCTTATTAGATCCGATCGATTTGCTTTCAAAGGTAATTTAGGCACCATTTTGAGAAGAAAAGCTATTCATTGCGCAATCCCGCGCCACGCCACTTCCGTCAACAATCCGGAGTCTCCTCCCACACCTGGGCTACGCCCCCTCGGCCTCCGATTGGAGGCGATCGGCCCAATCGGCGGGCGTGATGTCATCGCCTGTTTCGACCAATCCCGGCGGGGGGAGGAGCTTGCGTCGCAACTGCATTGGGGGGGGGATTGAAAGCCCGAGTTCGTTCGGCAGGTAAATTGGCCGCTGCGACTCGCGGGTCATCGCTGTTCGTGTGAATGCACCCGGGAGTTAGAGAAGGTGTGATTTGGACGCAGGAGGGATTCTTTCTTGCAAAATAGAAGTCAGGACAGGGGAAAAAAAAGCGGGGCGGAGAGAAAAGCTTGCAGAAGATGGCTATCGAAGCGTGGGGCGAATTGACAGGCAGATTAAAAAGGCGTTTTACCTACGATTAGGGAGGAGAGGAATAAATCCAGGATCGGTGCAACCCAAAGCTTCACACCCTGCAAGATGTAGGAAGGAAAAGATCCGTGAAAAGAGAGTTAAGACTCTGTGTGTGTGTGTGTGTGTGTGTGTGTGTGTGTGTGAGAGAGAGAGAGAGAGAGAGAGAGAGAGAGAAATGGACTCCTAGCAGAAGGAGGGACAGGCGGGGGAGACCCTAAGATGGAAATCATAGTATAGTAAATAAAGCAATGCCGGAAGAGGAGCCTAATGCTGCATGTGGATCAGCTTCCTGTTTTACTACTTTTCCTTCCTTCCTTCCTTCCTTCCTTCCTTCCTTCCTTCCTTCCTTCCTTCCTTCCTTCCTTCCTTCCTTCCTTCCTTCCTTCCTTCCTTCCTTCCTTCCCAAGGGGACCTCAGAGGTTTTCTAGTCCAACCCCCTGCTCAACCAGCACACCTTATACCATTTCAGACAAATGGCTGTCCAGTCTCTTCTGAAAAAAATCTTCCGGGTTGGAACACCCACAACTCCTGGAGGCAATGTAATTAATTACAGTTAAATTCATGCTCCCTGCTCTGATTGGGTCACGGGTTCGTGTGCCGTCACCCGAAGAAAAACCCCTTCTACCGAATTGGGGGGAATTAATTCATCCAGCTTTTGGACACCCGGCATTATCACATCCTCTCTCCCATCAGATTCCCAATGCAGCTGAGGGTAGCTGTCCTGGGCGGAGGGGTGAGTGGTCTCGCCGCTTGCTACTACCTGGCCAGGAGCTCGCTAGCATCTAAGGTGAGAACTTGCCCGTCCAATCCATCAATTTGATTTATTGCTGTCGAAGAGCGCGTGTGATTTATAGACCGATCAAATTTAGGACAGAATTCAGATACGTTTGTAAAACGACGACCCTGGTTTAGATTCCAGCAACTCAAATCTGTGTAGTGGTATATTTTTTATTCTGCTTGCAGACATTTCATGACCCAACTAGGCAACATCATCAGTGTTAGAAAGGAATGGGGATTGTGGAATGATGGAGGAGGAGGAGAAGGATGGTGGGGTCCGTAGTGCTCTCTGAGCTTGGTTGTTTTCTTGCAGACGTTTCACGACCCAACTAGGTAACATCATCAGGGCTAGAAGTCTAGTTGTATTATCTTTTTTTTTTTCATTCTTTTTTCCTGGCTTTCCCCCCTCCATATAGATCATCCTTTTGGAGGGCAGCCATCGGTTGGGGGGCTGGATTCATTCCACCCGGACGGAAGGTGGGGCTGTTTTTGAACACGGCCCCAGAGGGATCCGGCCTGCCGGGATTGTAGGAAAAAACACCCTCCTGATGGTAGGTGGTTTAGGCGAAGAGCAAAATCTTCTAGTTCTTGCCTTACAAGCAAGTGCCGTCAAAATGTGATTTTTTTTTTCTCTCTCTAGGTTTCAGAACTTGGATTGGAAGCCGAGGTTCTTCCCGTTCCAGGAGACCATCCAGCCTCGAAAAATCGCTACCTCTACGTTGGGGGCAGCCTTCACAAACTCCCTTCTGGCATAAAGTATATTCATCGTTCCACAAAATCCAATCATTTTGTTTTGCATGGGGGAAAAATGCATCCTTTTTCATTTGCATATGCTAACAGTAATATTTCCATGGGGTCCTTGGTGGCCTCTGAGCTTGGTGGTTTTCTTGCTGACGTTTTTTATGACCCAGCTAGGTCACCTCATCAGTGCTAGAAGCCTCCCAGCACAAGCGTTCTAGCACTGAGGATGTTACCTAGTTGGGTCATGAAATGTCTGTAAGAAAACAAGCAAGCACCAAGCACCCCACAGTTGTTGATTTTCTTCTTCTTCTTCTTCTTCTTCTTCTTCTTCTTCTTCTTCTTCTTCTTCTTCTTCTTCTTCTTCTTCTTCTTCTTCTTCTTCTTCTTCTTCTTCTTCTTCTTCTTCTTCTTCTTCTTCTTCTTCTTCTTCTTCTTCTTCTTCTTCTTCTTCTTCTTCTTCTTTTCTTCTTCTTCTTCTTCTTCTTCTTCTTCTTCTTCTTCTTCTTCTTCTTCATCTTCTTCTTTCTTCTTCTCCTTCTCCTCCTCCCCCTTTTTGCACTGATAGTGTTACCCAGTTGGGTCACGAAACATATCAATATTTCTTCTGTTTCAGGAGCATTTTGCAGGCAGTGCCTCCGTTCTCCAGTCCTCTTGTCTGGAGTGGGTTGAAGGAACTGTTGGCCACCCGTGGAACGGAACCTGATGAGACCATCCATGGCTTTGTGGCCCGTCGTTTTGGCCAGGAGGTATTTCCACGAGCTACGAAACCCTTCTTAATTCTCAACCCAAAATCTCTTTGTTTTAGAGATCATCCTGTTTTCCACCGACTCTTAGCTCAGCCCTTCTACCTTTCAACCTCTGCTCTATGTGAAAAAATAAGTCATTTTTTTTTTTTTTTGCCCAGGAGAAAATTCACTTGCTAAGTCTCAAAAACGTAGGAAAAAAAATAAAAAAAATAAAAAAAACTGGGAAGTTCGTTTTCCAAACACAGGAAAACGTAGAAAATAAACTGGGAAGCTCATTTTCCAAAGACAGGGAAGAACTTTTTTCTAAAAAAACCCCAAACAAACTAGGAAGCTTTGTCCCCTGGATGGTCTACGATATCTTCCTTTTGTGCTGCTTTGGGAAAACCATCCCTGCATGCAGAAATCTAAGGTCTCAGGGTTTTGGGGGTCAAGGCTAAATGGGCAGCCTTGTGCAAAGCAGAAGAGAATTGTGGAAGAATTGTAACAAAGCTTCAAGCCGAGAAGAAAAAAAAAATCTTTTTAAAAAAAGGATATTTTTTTATATTCTGTTAAGGCTGGTCTTTTGAAAGGTGAGGCCAAGGGGGAGAAGAACAGGGTGGGAACCCTTGTGCCTTATCAGCTGGATGCAGGGAAGGCTGTGCTTCTCTTAAAATAATCTTTCCTTTTGTACAGGATGATTTGAGACAGAAATGTGGAATAACTTATAGGCAGCTTCAGCCTATAAGGCAGCTTTGCCAATATAATATAATCATTATTTATTAAGTTTGACTGTATATATTGCCCAAATCCTTATTTGTATCCTGGACGCCTTTTCTCTCTCATGCACAAATTCCAGCCCTAGAAATTGAAGCTTAAATTCATTTCCTAAAAACAGGAATCGCCGTTAGGAGCAGCTTATGAACCCCGCTGCATTTTTGGGTTTTTTTTCTGAAAAAAACTCTTGAAAAGCTTTATATAAGGCATAAAACCCGCAGTCCAGGGAACTGTAATGATTGGGCGATGGAAACGGTGAAATGCACTGCTGCGCCGGTCGTAAGGGTGAGGACCCAATTGTAAGTCCATAAGTTGCTTTTGTTCCCCTGCACCATCGTAACTTGGAACGGTTGCTAAATGAACGATCGTAAATCAAGGACTATCTATAAAATAATAATAATAATAATAATAATAATAATAAGTTGGAAGGGACCTTGTAGGTCATCTAATCCAACCTCCTGCTCAGGCAGGAAACCCTACACCATTTCAGACAAATGGCTATCCAGTCTCTTCTTAAAAACTTCCAGTGTTGGAGCATTAACAGCTCCTGGAGGCAAGGAGTTCCACCGGTTAATTGTTCTGTCAGGAAGTTTCTCCTTAGTTCCAGGTTGCTTCTCTCCTTGATTAGTTTCCATCTGTTGCTTCTTGTCCTGCCTTCAGGCGCTTTTGAGAATAGCTTGACTCCCTCTTCTTTGGGGCAGCCCCTGAAGGCTGCTATCTTGTCCCCCCTCGTCCTTCTCTTCATTTGTAATTTGGAGGTGTTTTCTCTTTTTTTTTCAGATGGCTGATATAGCTGTGGATAGTCTTTGTCGTGGCGTCTTTGCTGGGGATTGCCGAGCGTTGAGCATCCGTTCCTGTTTCCCAGCGTTATTCCTGGCTGAGCAGAAATACGGTTCCGTTATATTGGGCATGGCCCTTGCGAAAAGTGAGTTTTTAAGGGAGGGAAAAATAAATAAATCATCAAATCCATCCTTTTAACACAGAAGAACACCCCAATTTTAAAAATAAAACCGATCGCGTCCTGGGATCATGCCATTCCCATTTGCAACCTTCCCAGACAAGCCAAATCAATGGGGGGGAAGCCATTGATTCGTTTAACGACCCTGTGATTCATTTAACAACCTGGGTGGCTGAACTTAACCACCTGGGCCCCCAAAAAATGTCGCAAAATTGGGTGCGGTTCGTTAAACAAACCGCCTCTCGTAACGACCAAAATGCCGGTCTGTTACACCTGTTAAGTCGGGAATTTAACTGTGTGCTAAAATTCAGCAGCTAGTATTGGGCGCTTTGGGTGCTGAAAGAGAAGCCAGGTGGTTACCTGTTGAATTTCTGCCTGCTGCACAAGTGTACAGGCTCATCTTACAAATATTAAACATACTGGAGGAGAGAAAGGAGGAAGGTGGTTGAGGGAGACCCTGTAACCAGGTTTGGGCAACTGAGGCAGCGTTTCCAGATTCTCCTCTTTCCTTCCAGCAGAAACTTCTCCGGTGGATTGCCGCCTGATCCGCCAGGCCCAGGAAGGACGCTGGAGCCAGTGGTCCCTGCGCGACGGACTGGAGACCCTCCCCCAAAGTTTAGCTTCCTTCTCCAGAGAACGAGGGGTCGAAATCCACTGCAATGCCCCGGTGAAGCGGCTGGACAGAACAACCTCGGGGTCCTGGCAGGTGGGGGAAAAGACTCAAGGGGAATTGGGGGGGGTCCCCCAGTTTGCCCCCCCCCACCTTCCACTCTTCCATCTTAGGGAGTGTCCAGGCTGAGATTTTCAGCTGGAGAATTGCAAAGATGGGTCTGGTTTTTCTCCCGACTTCGGGGTCTCTCTCCATGTAATGAATTTTGTGTATAGAAGCAGTGTGGTTTCCTCCAGACACTAGCAAGAAGGAACGTCCTTCTGTGTCGATTAAAAAAACAAAATAAATAAAACCAAAACCCGGTTCTTAGAAATGTAGCTTCTCAGGCCCAGTTGATGACAGGCTAGATTTCTAGCTGCAGGGAACAGCATGTAAGTAGAGTGACTCGACTAGAGAATGTTAGAGCTGATGGTGGGTTGTTTTTTGTCCCCCCCACACCCCATAGATTGCCTTGCAGGATGGCACCGTGGAGGCCGATCACGTGATCAGCGCTTTGCCCGCCAGAGGTAGGAGAAATGGCTCCTGGTTGTCGTTGCAGTTCCGAAGTGTGGGTCTCTCTCTCACACACACACAGGCACAAATACACATTTTCAGGAAATGACCTCCCCCCCCCCCCCGGACGAAGCAATGTTAGGTGGTTGGTTTCTTTGGTGCAGCCTTGAGGACTGGAAACTTGCGAGGGCCAATCTGAAAAAAATTCTAAAATTGCTTTTATTTTTTTTTCCTCCTTCCAGCTCTGGCTGACTTGCTCCCCACTGGATTAGAACCCCTTACCCAAGAGCTACAGGCTATCGAAGCCGTTTCCGTGGCGGTGGTGAATCTACAATACGAAAACGTGCAGCTTCCTGTTACGGTAATCTTTTGGCTGGTGTGATTCAAAGAAAGGAGGAAGCAGAGAGAGAGAAAGACCTAAATCTCACCCAAGCAAAATCAAACGGGTGAAGAATCTAAATTCGCATTAACCGCTATGGTGATTTGCTTAAGGACCGTGTCAAAAAACATCCTATGAATTGTATTTGCTCAATATTGGAAAAATGAAAATTTACCAACTGAAGGATTAATTAAGAAAATTTTAAAGTGTGCAGAAATGGATAGATTGACTTTAAAGATGAAAGAGGAAGAAGACTTCAGTGTATTTTAGAACATGGGGTAATTGTTATCGAGGACTTTGAATATATATTAGCCAGAAAAAGACCATCGAGCAATTAACATATTTATGATAATTAACTCTTACTCATTGGGTTGTTTTTTTCTTTTAAACACATGAACCCAGACATTATGCTGTTTGCTAAATATTGAGAATGTTATTTGAAAAAACCCCAACCCCACCTTATTCCTACTCCTATAAAAACTAATAATATACTAAAAAAAAAATCCTGACTTGTTTAACAACCACCTTGCTTAGTGACGGATGTTCTGCTCCCGATCAAGGTCGTAAATCAAGGACCACCTATATTACTTTTAGGATCTATTGGGTAAGGCTTCCAAACCACATATAAGGTGCGGTGATTTTTTTTTTAATAAAATCTCATTTTAAACATTTTTCCAGGGATTTGGCCATTTGGTGCCTTCGTTTGAGGATCGTCCGCTATTGGGCATCGTCTACGACTCGGTGGCGTTTCCCGAACAAAATGGTCACAAGGACTCCATCACTCGACTGACGGTACGAAGCAAAGGGATGGCGGTGGGGTTGTTTAATTCTTCGCTCCGTCTTGTCTTGTCTTGAAGGGGTGGACTTCAACTCCCAGAATCCCCCAGCCAGCATGCTTTAAGAGGGGTGGACTTCAACTCCCAGAATCCCCCAGTCAGCATCCTTTAAGTTAGGTAGACTTCCCGAAAAGCTGTTTTTATGTTTCCAATGAGCAGGTGATGCTCGGTGGCGCCTGGTTTACATCACACCTTGGTGATCCGGACACAATTCCGCACAGTGAGTTGTTAAGCAGAGCTGAGGAGGCTGTGAAGAAGCACCTGGGAATCTCCACGGAGCCCTCTTACTCCATCGTTAAAGTACACAAGGTTGGTTCTTCAAAGCCTGGAACGATTTATTTGCCTCGATCGATAACACAATTCTTCTCTTAATTCAAGATTTCCCCTCTGGCTGTAATTTCAACCATCAGCTGTTATTAGCCCCAGACAACTGCCTCTTCCATGCCTTCCATCCAGGAAATTAGAATTAATTAATAATGAAATGTATAATGGAATCCTAGAATTCTAGCGCTGGAAAGGGACCTCGGAGGTTTTCTAGTCCAGCCCCCTGCTCAAGCAGGAGACCCTCTACCATTCTAGACCTAATGGTGGTCCAATCTCTTCTTTAAAACCTCCAGGGTTGGGAGCATTCACAACTTCTGGTGGCAAGCTGTTCCACTGGTTCATTTTTCTCCCTGTCAGGAAATTTCTCCTTAGTTCTAGGTCGTTTCTCTCCTGGGTTAATTTCCCTCCGTTGCTTCTTATCCTATCTTCTGGAATTTAGAATCACAGAATAAAAGAGTTGGGAGGGACCTTACAGTTGTAAGTCGAGGATCGCCTGTATAAAGCTTCCAGTCTTTTTTTTAGAAATTCTGTATTTTTTTTTTCCTCCCCCTATCCGAAAGCAGCTAACTTTGTGAATTTTCTCTTTCTTGTTTAGTCCTGCATTCCCCAGTACACCCTCGGCCACTGGAAACACATCGGTAAGTATAATAATAATAATAATAATAATAATAATAATAATAATAATAATAATAATAATAGGATCAGCCTGTTCTCCAAAGCACCTGAAGGCAGGACAAGAAGCAACGGATGGAAACTAATCAAGGAGAGAAGCAACTAAGCAACTGGAACTAAGGAGGAATTTCCTGACAGTGACAACAATAATATAACAATAACAACAATAATGGAGTTGGAAGGGACCTTGGAGGTCATCTAGTCCAACCCCCTGCTCAGGCAGGAAGCCCTATCCCATTTCAGACAAATGGCTGTCCAGTCTCTTCTTAAAACTTCCAGTGTTGGAACATTCACCGCTTCTTCGTTCCAGGTTGCTTCTCTCCTTGATTAGTTTCCATCCGTTGCTTCTTCAGGTGCAGCCATGAAACTATTGCTTCAATTTTCTTCATAAGGCGAGGACTTATTTCCATGGATTTATTTAAATGTTATTTAAATATTAAATATTTAAATACGATTTACATTATATTTACACGGGTTGCACCATCCCGGGCTTGCGCCATCGCCATTTACGACGTCCCAGCTGGCTCCCGAGAACGTCAGTGTGGAAGCTGGATTTGCTTAAGAGAAGAGAGTAGACCTGGAAGGGACCTTGGAGGTCCTCTAGTCCAGCCCCCTGCCCAAGCAGGATGTCCCATTCAAAAGCCACAGGGATTAGCTTAACAACCAAGGCAAAGCAGGCCGTAAAACCAACGGCGACTCGCCTAATGACCGCCTCGCTCAGCGACGGAAAACCCCGATCGTAAGTTGAGGACTGCTTTGTGTTTCCTTCCTTCAGAAAGCACTACTTCTCAACTGAAGCAGCAGAATCTGCCCCTCAGCCTGGTGGGGGCTTCCTACGCCGGGGTCTCCGTCAACGACTGCATCTTCAGCGCCCAGACGGCGGTGGCTCGGATGGCGGGCAGCGTCTCCTGAGCATGAGCCGAGTGTCGAGTTCTGGATTCGCGGGATTTGAGCCGCATTTGGATGCTGGACTTTATGAGGAAGGGGACTGGAGGAAATATATTGTGTTGCTTTGGGAAGTGGGTGGATGGGAGGCCAAGTGGGAAAGACCACCGGTTTTGAGGTAAATGTGTTGCGTTTAAAATAAAACCAAACCATGATTAACTTGGCCAGCCGTCGGTAGAGGAAAGAACAGCTCACTCTTTCGCTGGGTGGGGGAATATTTATTTTTGTAAAAAAAAAAAATCCAAATATATCTATATATCTCAAAACCAAGGTGGAAAGGGCACCACTACCGCAAAGGGGGGATTGACGGCTACATAAATAGAATAAATAAAATGACACGTCATTGGCAGTATCTAGAGACTGTGAGGTGCCTAACCGGTGGGGAGTCGGACCCTAATTGGGGATGGAGGGAACAGGCTGGGATCAGCCCAAAAGGAAAGAAGAAAAAAACCCAAAATATCAGGGAAGGCAAGTTGGGTAAAGGAACGATAATTGTTCGTGTGGCGATTTTTTTTTTTAAAAAAAAAATTCTGATTTTTCGTTTCTGGGTGGCTGGGTGCAGGGAACCTACAAAACAGTCCAGCTGCTAAAACAGTAATAAACGTCGGTCCGGTGGGGAGAAGGACTTCTCTTTCCAAGCCTCTGGAATGGGCAGTTGAGCAGATCTGATGGCTGTCTTTTGAGAGAACGCCTCTAAAAGCTTTCACGTTGGATTGTACTCTTAAAAAGAGAATTTTGATCGATTTGAGACTTTACGACTCGACTTCCATAGCTTATTGAAAGAGTTTAAAATTTCCTCTGGAGGAGGAAGGGAGCGGAGGAAAGAAAGAGACGGGAAAGATGAAGAAAAAGGGAGAGGCAGAAGGAGGAGAAAAGAGGGGAAAAATGGTGAAGAAGAGAGGGAGAAGAAAAAAGATGAAAAAGGAGGATGAAAAGAAGAAAGAAGGAGGAGAGACGAAAAAGGGAAAAGGAGAAAAGATGAAGGAAGCAGGAGAAAAGAAATGGAAAAAGAAGAAGGAAAATGGAGAGAAAAATGAAGGAATGAAAAAAAGAAAGAAGGAGAAAAAATGGAGAAGAGGTGAAAGGGAAAAGGAGAAGAGATGAAGAGGAAGAAGAAAAAATGGAGAAGAAACGAAAAAGGGAAAAGGAGACAACAGGGAGGGGATGGAAAAATAAAGGGAGAAAAGGAGAGAAAGAAAAAAGATGAGATGGAGAGGAAGGAGAAGACAAGAAATGGAGAGAAAAAAGATGGAGAAGAGGTGAGGAAGAAAAAGAAGAGATGAAGAAGAAGAAATAGTTTAGTGACAAAGATTGTACAAGCGAACGGCTCAGACAGCAGCATAGCTTTGACGCTGTTTAAATGTCTAGTCTGTTTCTCTTTCAATCCAGGGGGGAGGGGACAGATTTTTTTGCACCTGAGAAGAGGCTGAGGGTCGGGGGGGGGGAGTGTCCTTCCATCACAAAATCTCCCCCCTCTGTTCCTTGATCCTAGCTGGCTCGCATTTGTGGGAGGGAGGGCACCGCTAGGGTGGGAGTAGATTTCTCCCCCCAAAGAAGAAAAAAATTGAGCAAAGCCAGTTATGCTTTCCTGGTGCTTGGAGGGGGGGGGCACAAGCTTCAGCCCTCCCCCCCTTTTAAGAAGGGTGCAAAGTGGACGGCGAGGGCTTGATCGGACTGCTATTCACGGAAACTGCAGAGTTCTCCCCCCCCCCCCAAAAAATAATTCATCCACAGAAAACTTGGAGACGAGAAGTACCCTCTCCTTCCCCCCCCCCTCCAGTTGATCATTCCTGTTCTTCCAGTCACCTCCGAGCGGGATCCAGTCCTGCGAAGCATGAGATAGAAAAAGGGACCCTTGGTTGATTACCTGCATCTGGGAAGGAAGAATCGGCCGGCATTCACAGATTACGGGAACCAAATTCTCGAGGGATTCCCGTGGCCGTCCTACCTCTTCCCCGTTCACCTGCCCCTTTCTCCGTCCACTTCACCTCCATCCAGTCCTTTGGCTCCGTTGGCCTGGGGAGAAACTACGACGGATCCTCCCCAAACTCCGAGCAGGGAACGAAAGAATAATTCTAAATTTCGACCTCTCGTTGACCATCGACCTGTCATCGTTTTTTTTTAATCTGCGGTTCTGGCATCTGTGTGGTTTGTAGAGTCGGGTCGGGGAGCCGAGCGCTGGGCGGTGTGTCGGATCGAGGGTTGCGGCGAAGCTGGGCCTGCTCCTTCGGGTCGGACGGTCTCCGTGCTATCCTCGAAAACTCGTTTGGCGACTTCCGGGCTGTGGACGGTCTCACTGAACGTTTCGAGCGTAGCGTCCATGTCGCTGTAGGTCGAAGCAGCAGATCCTTTCCCCCACTTTTGGGCTCCGGGGCTCGGTTTGGGGTTTGCTGAGATTGGGGATGGCCTCTCCCCCTTTTTTTCCGTCACCGCAGGGGGCTCCTTCCATCCCATGGCTTGGGAGAGTTTGGCGAAGGGGGTCTTACGGAGCATCTCCTGACGGAAATTGTGATTGCTGTCTCGCGGATAGCCCCTCTCGACAAAATCAGACAAGGAGCCCTTTCCGATCTTGATGGCCTTGGGATTGGTACCAATATCGGCGGTGATGTTGGTGTAAAGGGGCAGCAACTCTTTGGACAGGAGCTTGTAGGAGAGAGAATTCATGCCGTCCTGGGACCATGTCCGGTATGTCCGGATCAGCAGATCGAACCTGGGAAGACAAAGAGATGGAGAGCGATCAGCACTTGTACCCTACAGGCTGGAAAAAAATCGTGCTGAAAATCTTGCGGGTGCTTAAACGTGATCTCTGACGGGGATTCACACACCAAACTAAGCTTAGAAGGGTGTTAGCCATGGTTTGTTGCATCAGTTGCAACTGAAATGTAGATAAACCTCCCGAGTGGACAATCTTGTAAGGACTTCCTGCGACATCTGAAATGAGTGGATTCTGGATTTTGCATAACACGCCTTTTCCCTTTGTGTAGTTCACTAGCTCAGAGGGCTGGGTTCCACAACCGAATAACGGAGCTGGAAGAGACCCTGGTGGTCTTCTAGTCCAGCCCTCTGCTCAAACAGGAAACTTATCCCATTTCAGCCAGATGGCTGTCTTCTTCAAATCTTCCAGTGTTGAAACACTCACAGCTTCTGAACGTCATCTAATACAACCCCCTGCTCAAGCAGGAGACCCTAACCCATTTCAGACCAATGTTGTCCAATCTATTCTTAAAAACCTCCTGTGTTGGAGTACCTACAACTTCTGGAGGCAGCTAGTTGTACTGGTTAATTGTTCTCATTGTCAGGAAGTTTCTCCTTAGTTTTAGGTTGCTTCTCTCCTTGGTTAGTTACTATCCGTTGCTTCTTGTCCTGCCTTCAGGCGCTTTGGAGAATAGCTTGACTCCCTTTTCTTTGGGGCAGCCCCTGAGATACTGGAAGACTGCTATTATGTCACCCGTGGTCCTTCATTAAACTAGACATGCCCAATTCCAGCAACTGTTCCTTATATGTTTTGGCCTCCAGTCTCCTAATCATCTTTGTTACTCTTCTCTGCACTCTATCCAAAGATTTTTTATATCATGGTGACAAAAACAAACCAGCCATTTGTTCAAAGCTCTCCTCATCAGCCTGCACATTGTTGTGTTTATCACAAAAGGGCAGGATCTTTTGTCGTGGCTCGGACTACGTCCCCACCTTATACTGACCTGTGTGGATTCTGCTCGTTGCCTTGATCGCCTTCGTGTTTCACCATTTTATAATGGCCGACCGACACCGGAGGCCGTAAAATCTTCATCCCTCGGAAGCGCACCCTGGAAAAGTGGGATCGGACCAGAAGGGCTGTTCTTCAACCTTGACAACTTTAAGATGGGTGGACTTCCGTTCCCAGAATCCCCCAGCCAGCCTGCTTTAAGATGGGTGGACTTCATCTCCCAGAATCCTCCAGCCAGCAAGCTTTAAGATACGTGGATTTTAATTCGAAAAATTCCCCAATGAACATGCTTTAAGAGGGGTGGACTTCGGCTCCCAGAATCCCCCAGCCAGCCTGCTTTAAGAGGGGTGGACTTCGACTCCCAGAATCCCCCAGCCAGCCTGCTTTAAGAGAGGTGGACTTCAACTCCCAGAATCCCCCAGCCGGCATCCACCCATTTGAAAAGAACTACATAGGGAAGCTAAATGATTCACAACAGGCCTCCTAAATCAAGCAAACAAACCATGAATCTAAGGTAGCATCAATCCAAGAGGCTGTGGATTAGATCTTTAGAGATCTTTAGATTTTTTAAAAACAGTCGGTCTTAAACTGATTGGCTCAATTTTCCCTGTTCCAAGCCTTGGGTGAAATTAGAGCCTCCATAAAAAACCAAAAACAAAATACAGATTCTGTATTTTGACAATAGCCTGGACTTCCAAAAAAGCAATTAGCAATCCCAAATGGCTTTTCTCCCCCGGGGGAGGCCTGGCTTAGCTTCCACTGGAGTCACTGTTTTAAATAAATGTCCTCTTGATTACGAATATATTTTTTTTCCTGAGCTCAAAATGCAAAACCATTTCGACTGAAAGCCTTGAGAGGTTTCTCACCTCGCCTTTTCCAATTTAAAACCTCAAAAGGTGCCAAAGTACAGACATTTAGCCTAGCCTGCTCGGGAACTGAGAATGTTTCTGAAGTTTTCCCGTCACGGGGGGCTCAAATCAGTGAGCGAATGCAGGGCAAGGAGAGAGTGAAGGATGATCTGCCTTGGAGGGTTGCTGAGATATCTCTCTTTTTGTTTTGTTTTTTTTTTTAAAAAAAAAAACACAAAATCTTACCTGACTGCCTCAGCCTCTAATTGTTACATGGTGTGAAGGAAAATGAGCATGCAGGGCTTCACAAGAGAGAGAAAAGAAGGTGAAGAAGGAAAGAGAGGAAAGGAAAGGAAGATAGAAGAAGGGAAGGGAATACAGGAAGGAAAGGAAAGGAGAGAAGGAAGGGAGGGAGGGAGAGAAGAGAGGGAAGGACTGGAAGGAAGGAATTGATATAAAGGAGAGAAAAAATGAAGGAAGGAAACAATTGACAGAAAGGAGAGGAAGGGAGGAATCGATATATAGAAGGAGAAAAATTGACAGGAGGGAAGGAAAGAGGAAGGAAGGAAGGAAGGAAAAATGGAAGAGGGAGGGAGAGAGGGAGGGGAGGAAGGAGGAAGAGAGAAAGAAGGAAGGAAAGCCGAGAAAAGAAATGACGATATGGTGGACAGGCGAAGACAGGTGCCACTCAAGTTGCAAAACTGGAAATGGAAGAACGGGAAAAAAAAATGCTGGACGCACAAAGTGAAAAGAAAGCACAGGTTACATGCAAGGCGAGAGTCAACTGGACAACGGGGGGGACGTAGAAACAGGACACAGAAACCATAAAGTTATTTTAAAAAAAAAGACAGACACACAGGCTGACAGGTGCTGTTCCCAATCATCACGTGACCCTGGGACGCTGCAAGCGTCATAAATATGAGTCAGTTGCCAATTTTGATCACGTCACCAGGGGGATGCTGCAACATTCATGAAGTGTGAAAAATGGTCCTAAGTCCCTTTTTTCAGGGGTGTAGTAAGTCTTAAACGGTCATAATTCGAGGGCTACCTGTAAGAGGCAGTAGGGGAAGAAGGTCAACCAGGAACTCACCTCATGGCGATGTCATCGTCCTCCCCACCCCAGCCCCAGTACTGGTTGGGGAAACCATTAATCTTCAGATACTGGTCTGGGGTCAAGGCTGAGACCCCACCGAAATACTGGAAATACGGGAGCCTGGAAACAGAGAGTAACAGGGTTTACTTAAGGCCAGGGGTCTTCAAACTTGGCCCTCTTATGACTCGTGGACTTCAACTCCCAAAATTCCTCGGCCAGCATGGGGGAACTATGGCCTCTTCATGACTTGTGGACTACAACTCCCAGAGTTCCTCAGCCAGCGTGCCTGTCATAAGCCGAGGACTCCCTGTAGATCAAAGGAGTGGCAGGTAAATCCCACCCCCTTTTCATCTTTTCTCATTTGGCGGAACGAGGAAAAAGGAAGGGGAAGTATTGTATGCACGCACGCATGCACATATATTAATGGGGCCGCGAGCATGCATGATGCATATGGGGCGATGCTAGTGCTCGCGTGACCCTCGCTAGCACTGCCCGGTTTTTGCCACATGGCGAGCCATTTTCACCATGCGGTGCCCCATTTTCGCCACACGGCGCCGTTTTTGCCATGCGGAGCCCCATTTGCGCAACGTCAGCGGCACTACTGCGAGTGGGGCTGAGCGCGCGCAAACATGTATGCGCCCTAGCCAGCCTGTACCGCGGCCCGCTGGTTGGGGACCCTTGCTCTCTAGACTTCCCCGCTCTCTTCCCTCACTTGTATTTGAATTTATTCATGGCGACGGAGACGTGTTTGGGGTTCCAACGATCGCACACGTAGAGGTTGTGGTCGTTCTCCGGGATCAGATCCACGTCGTGAAGGAAAAGGCAGTTCCATTCTTCGTCCTTCAGAGCTTCCTTCACGCCCACGTTGAGAAGCTTGGCCCGGTTGAAAGTGGCGTTCCCGGCCTGCAGGAAAAGAGGCAACCTTGATCATTTGAATTACCTGCAACAACAGACACCTGAAACCAAATTACAGGTGGTCCTCGACTTAACGACCGCAGCTGAGGCCAAAATTTCCGTCGCTAAGTGACAAATTTGTTAAGGAAGCCAGATTTCACTTAACGACCGTGGTCCTAACTTAACAACGGCAGGGATTCCCTTAACCCAGGGGTCTTCAAACGTGGCCCTTTTTATGACTGGTGGACTTCAACTCCCAGAATTCCTCAGCCAGCATGGGGGAACTATGGCTCCTTCATGACTTATGGACTTCAACTCCCAGAATTCCTCAGCCAGTGTGCCTGGTTGAGGAATTCTGGGAGCTGATGTCCACAAGTCCTAAAAGGGCCAGGTTTGAAGCCCCCTGCCTCAACAGCTGCAGCAAGAAACATCACAGAATGCGGCAAAACTCATTTAACAACTGTCTTGCTTAGCAACAGAAGTTTGGGGCTCAACCGGGGTCATACGTCACATCTAAATCAAATAAATAAGGGCGGAAACTGTCCATTGTCAGCCTAGGAGAGCTTAAGTTGCCTCTTCCATATAAAACCTGAGGTTCAGAAGTGTCTCAATTTCCACCAATGAGGAGCTGACTCTGATGCCTGCGCCCCCATTGGTCTCTTGTCTGTGCTTAAGGGCCAATGAAAGAGCCAGTCTAAGAGCCAATGAAAAGTCCAGCTGCCAAGCCCTGCAGCCAATCGGGTGGAGAATTGCTTTGGAGGGAAAGTATAAAAGGAGGCAGAGGGGACAGGGCTGAGTCAGACTGCAGGAAGACTCAGAAGAGAAGGGAAGGAAGAAAGGAAGGAAAGAAGAAAAGAAAGACAAAGAAGGAAGGAAAAGAGAGAGAGAAGCTCCTAAGGGGAAAAAGGATGAAGTCACCAACTTTGGAGCAATTGAAGTCCTGGTATTTCCTTCAGGAAGGAGAAACAGATCAGAAAAGCTGCTGGAGGACCAGACAGAAGACTGAGAAGCCCTGTTTGATTGGCATTTCCTGAGCAGGAAGACAAAAACTGTCTGAATTCTGCTGAGGATACCAAGGGGGGAAAAAAAAATCTCTTCCCATATTTGAGAAACTTCTTGAAAGTTTTACAATATTTGCCCAATTAGTGTGTAGCTGTTCATGCCAAACAGATGACTCTGGATAGCATGCAATGAATAAATAAAGAATAAAAAAAGTAATAAAGGGAATGTGTGCATAAAGGAGATAAATTATTTCCTTTTCCTTATGCAGATTTATTTCCCTTTCATTCCATGAAGGAGCTTAATCATGCATGAATCTAGCACACAATGAACACAGGAAATCTTTAATTTATGGCCACAAGTTGACCCCAAAACTTATGTTAAGTGAGTTTTGCCTTGTTTCATCTTTCTGGCCACATTTCTTAAGCGAATCGGTTTCGTTGTTAAATTATTGCGTTCATTTGCCACCCGCCTCGTCATAAAATGACTGTTCCGTGCTAAACCACGTTTCCTCCATGTTTCCATCACATACCTGGTGCACGATATAAATTCCGTAATGTAGCTGTTGGCGCTGGAGGAAAGGGTGTAGGTAGTACAACAGGTGTCGGAGGTGAGTCTCCCGGTTGCGGTGGGGGATGATGATGGCCGTCCGTGAGCGGGACTCACAGCTGAAAGGACGGTATCTGCCTCCTAATTCGACGGCCGGGTTTTTCTCCTGAATCTTCTCCAGTGTGGGCACCTGGCTGAAACTCACCATCAAAGGGCCAACTAAAAGGAACCAACAGGATAGATAGATAGATAGATAGATAGATAGATAGATAGATAGATAGATAGATAGATAGATAGACAAAGAGATAGACAAAGAGATAGACGATAGATAGTAGACAGACAGACAGACAGACAGACAGATAGATAGATATAGATAGATAGACATAGATAGATAGACAAAGAGATTATATATTCATAGATGGATAGACAGGTGGATAGATAAAGAATTTATAGATTGATAAAGAGATGATAAAGATAGATGATAAAGAGATAGATGATAAATAAAGAGATGATAGATTGATAAAGATAGATGATTGATAGACAGACGAATAGATAGATGGATAGATAGACGGATAGATAAAGAGATGATAGATTGATAGATAGATAAAGATAGATGATAGATGATAGACAGAGAGAGAGAGATAGCCTTCAAGTTGGAGATCCTCGCCAGTGACTTTTGGGGACACCGAGGCAGGAAGGTCCATCCTACTCACTCAGGTGCGGGGACCGATCCGGGCAGTAGGGCAAGGGTCTGTTGGTGCTGGGCCGAGGGGGCAGCTGGAAGACCAGGCTGAAGTTGGTGTAGACGTCGTGCGTGCGGGAATAGTCGAAGGAGGGGCTGGTGTCCCGGCCGAAGATGGAGGCCAGGTTGCGGAAGCCGCCAAAGGAAAAGTAGGCCATGAAGAGGAACTGGAATCCAATCAGGAGCGCCAGGGTGCAAGGCCGGTCCAGGAATCGGCGGAGCATGGCGCTGGAGCATTGGATCAGCCGGGGGCACGGGTTCTGTCGCGGGGAGAGGAAGGGTGAGAGACGGCCCGTCGCAAAAAGCAGATTTTTTTTCCTCCGATTTCCATCCTGCTTTTTCCTTCTCTCCTACTTTTCCCCCACAACATCCCTGCCAGGTGGTCCCCCTTTTGCCACCTCCGGCAAAGTCGATGGGGGAAGGCTGATTCGCTTAACGACTGCACGATTCACGTAACATCCGCTTAACAATTGTGGCCAAAAAAAGTTGTACAAGGGGGCAAAACTCACTGAACGACTGCCTCGCTTAGCAACAGAAATTTGGGGGTTCCCTTGTGGTCATAAGTGAGGGACGACCTGTTAAAGGATTTATATTTACGCCTTTTCCACAAGCCTGCAGGGTAGGCTGAGAGAACACAACATCCCAAAAGTCACATTGTGAAGAGAGAGACTATTTTACACACACACAAACACCCCCCCCCAAAAAAGTCACATTTGTGGCTTTGCACAGACTTTGCCAACCAAGATCAGACTGTAAGAAGAGAGACTGGCCTGCATTACAAAGGAGATATACCAGTGTTTGAGTCAACCCTCGGGAATGTTGGAGGCCAGCAACTCCTGTTTGGTGTGTGGGCTTGTTAAGTTTCTAGTCCTCAACCCCAAAGTTTTCTGACTCTGCTTCCTTCTGATTTCCCGATACGCAGCAAATATCCAAAACACACGGATTGGCCCTCTCGCAAAAAGGCCGTCATTTCGTATCCTACTTTTTAAGCATCATTAATTTACAAAGCCTGCCACGATATCGTGACAGCAATCTTTCCGCCCCATCCCACAAGCAAAATGCACCCTGTAAACTGGCAAAAACCGGTTTGCGTTTTCTCTCCTCCAACTAGCAAATTCTGAATTTCCCATTTCAAATTTCCCATTTCATAACCTGACCTGCACCCAGCGCTTACCTACCACCTGCTGATCTCCAAAGAATGTCACCCTGCACGGGGTCGTGTGAATGCAGCCAGGAAGGGGGGAAAAAAACCCGTGTCCAGATTCCCCCTTCCCCCTAAATCCTTTGCACGGGAGTAAGGATGCCTAACTCGGGTGGGAAAGTCCGTATCCCCCACCCACCCACCCAGCTATAGGCTTTGGCTTCCTGGCCCGGCTGGCTGATTGCAGCTTCTCCCCCTCCAGGGACTGGGGATCGCATTTCCCATCATCCCCTACCAGCCCGTTGCAAGAAAGGTTGCAGAGCTGGAGGTTTTGCAAGCAGGCAGGGCCGGGGAGGCCGCTGCGGAGGCGGCGGTGGGGGACCCAGGGCTGCACTCCAAGATGCTCCAGACCCGACACGGGTACCTGAACGTGTGAAAGAGCCCCGGAACTCAGCCTCGCCCCGGGACCTGCATCTCCGCCGCCGTCACCACCATCATCACCTTCCCCAGGTACAGCTTCCCCGGAGGGGCGGGGAGAGAGCGGGGCTTGTGACGTCAGACAAAGGGGGCGGGGCGGTTCTCCTCTCGTCCCCGCCCCTTAAAGGGCACTTCATGCACCAGGAAGGGGATTTATTTATTTATTTGTTTGGCAAGGAGTTAGGCTGGTTGTTTTTTTTTTTTAATTTAATTTTATTTTTATTTTAGAATAGAATAAGAGTTCTTGATTGGCCCAGTGTGATTGGACACGCGAGGAATTTGTCTCCGGTGCAGAAGCTCTCAACGTACTGACAAGCAACAAGAATGGAATGGAATGGCATAAGAATTGAAATGGAAATAATAGAAAGAGAAATGGGAACGAGAATAGAATAGAAGTAGAATAGAATAGAAATAGAATAAAAATAGAAATAATAGAAATAGAAACAGGAATGAGACTAGAATAGAATAGAAATAGAGCAGAAGTAGAAGTAGAGTTAGAACAGAACAGAACAGAAATAAGAATAGAATAGCGTAGAAATAGAATAGAAATAGAAGTAGAATAGAATAGAATTAGAATAAAAATAGAAATAATAGAAATAGAAACAGGAATGAGACTAGAATAGAAATAGTAGAAGTAGAGGTAGAACAGAACAGAATAGAAATAAGAATAGAAATAGAATTGAATTAGAAGTAGAATAGAATAGAATAAGGAATGGAATAGAATAAGGAACAGAACAGAGTAGAGTAGAACAGAATAGAATAGAATAAGAATTGGAATAGAAATAATAGAAACAGAAACGGGAATGAGAATAGAAGAGAATAGAAACAGAAGTAGAAGTAGTAGAGGTAGAACAGAACAGAACAGAAAAGAATTCCTTACTGGCGAATTGTGATTGGACCCACAAGGAATTTGTCTCCGGTGCAGAAGCTCTCAGCGTTCACACAAACACAAGTGGCGCTTTCAGATGTCCTGCATTGAAAATGCGGATTTTGCTACAGAATTCTTTATTATTATTATTATTACTATTTTGCTTTCCTTTGGGTTGCTGGTGGATTTCCTTAATGCCAGGCAAGATGATAGAGGGAATGAATGAATGGCTAGGAAAAGCCCAGCCCATCCAATGGAAAAGGAGGGAGGGAAACATCTGCCCTCCCTCCAGATGTTGCCCCTCTCCTTGCCACCCAGGACTGTTCTTTATTTTGAGTGTTTGGCAATCCAGGGCTGCTGACTGAGCCTTAGTTATAAGAAAGGTGGTGCTTCCTGAGCCTCCAATTAGGGCCTCACAACAGCCCTGCCAGGCAGGCTCGCCTGGGAGGAGAGAGAAAGGGCGGGGCGGGGAGGGCGGCGCGGCAGGCAGTCCCCGTCGCCATGGCGACGGGAGAGCCTCCTTCCTTTTTCCCCCCCCTCCCCTCCGCCCGCGTCTCGCGCGCCGATTGGCCGAGCGGCGGGGCGAGGGCGGGAGCGGAAGCGGCGGCCGGGGTTGCCATGGGGGCGGCGGCGGCGGCGAGCGGGGCCCGGTGCCGGTGCGGCGGGAAGGGGCGGGCCCGGCTGGACCCCTGCGGGGGGCTCTGCCTGCTGCTCACCTACCTGAGCGTGGGCTACGCCGATTACGTCATCCTGGAGCACGTCCTGCTCCAGCCGGGCTTCCGGGACAGGTAGGCCCGCCCCCCCCGGCGCTCTGCACATGCTCAGGAACGCCGGGCTTGGCGGTTGGGTTGCTTTCCAAACGGGGCGGGAAGGGATTTCCAGCCCTCTGCACACGCCCCGTGTTCGAGGAGGAGGAAGGAGCCCTCTGCGCATGCTCGGGAGCTCGGTGGCTCAGGAGGGAGATAATGAGCCTGATGCTCTCTGCACGTGGTCAGAAACTCCGTGGCCTAAAAGGAAGAGGCTCTCTGCACATGCTCAGGGGCTCGGTGTTCTAAGAGGAGGAAGGAGCCCTCTGCGCATGCTCAGGAGCTCGGAGGCTCAGGAGGAAGTGATGAGCCTGATGATCTCTGCACGTGGTCAGAAACTCCGTGCAGGAAGAGGCTCTCTGCACATGCTCAGGGGCTCTGTGTTCGAGGAGCCCTCTGCGCATGCTCAGGAGCTCGGAGGCTCAGGAGGAAGATATGAGCCTGATGCTGTCTGCACGTGGTCAGAAACTCAGTGGCCTAAAAGGAAGAGGCTCTCTGCACATGCTCAGGGGCTCAGCGACCTATCAGGAGGGAGGAGCTCTCTGTACATGCTCAAGGGTTCACTTAACAAATGTCTCACTTAGCAATGGAAGTTTTGGGCTCCATTGTGGTTGTAAGTCAAGGACTACCTGTAGTTGCAATTTTTTTAAAATAAAAAAAAATGAGGACTGACGCGCCTTTTCATCTCCATACCTTCTGGCCTCCCATAGCCTTAATTCTTACCAATAAATCACCAGGTTTTTTTTCTCTTTTAACTCACCCAAACACCATTAAAAAAAAGACATTTATTCAAAGAAACTCAAATCAGCCGAGTTGGTCAAAGTATCCTAGTGTCCAATCTGCAACTGGATAATAAGAGATTGGAGGATTATTTTAACATTTAACATCTGTTCAAAGAAGATATTGACCGGATGGGTGGGGGGGCTGCTAAAGAGCTTGCAATAGGTGCACAATCTTATAATATTAATTTTAATAACCGCTCTATTTATTTCCAGCTTTTGGTGTCCTTTCCATGCTGTAGCTTTTAACCTTGTCATTCTGATGCTCCTGATCTCTCACACGAGGGCTGTCTTTGCTGACCCAGGTGACTCCTCCATTTCCTTTGGCTTCCCAGTTTCAAGCATGGCAGGAAAGCTTGCAAAATGGGGCAAAACTCACTTAACAACTGGCTCAGCAATAGAAGTTTTCGGCTCCATTGTGGTCGTAAGCCGAGGACTACCTTTATATGGTCTAAAACTCAGCAGTGGTCACTTTTCTTCCAGTCCATAGCTTAAGGCGGTCTTTTCCAAACTCAGTAACTTTTTTAAAATACATGGACTTCAACTCCCAGAATTCCCCAGCCTGCATGCAAATATATTAATTCAAGCATGCCAACTGAGGAATCCTGGGAGTTGAAGTCCACCCATCTTAGCACTGTCAGTGTCAAGATGCACTAAATAATGTAAGATGCACTAAGTCCAGGGGTCTTCAAACTTGGCCCTTTGGTGACTTCTGGACTTCAGTTCCCAGAATTCCTCAGCCAGGCATGCCTGGCTGAGTGATCCTGGGAGTTGAATCCACCCATCTTAACAACGTCAATGTTAAGATGCATTGTCAGGGGTCTTCAAACTTGGCCCTTTGGTGACTTGTGGACTTCAATTCCCAGAATTCTGGGAGCTGAAGTCCACAAGTCATCAAAGGGCCATGTTTGAAGACCCCTGCACTAAGAAAATAAAATTTGCATTGCAATATATATATATATATATATATATATATATATATATATATATATATATATATATATATATATATACTGCTCAAAAAAATAAAGGGAACACAAACGTCTAGGATCCTATACGTTTGTGTTCCCTTTATTTTTTTTTGACCAGTATATATATTGCTTCTCTTTTGCTGCTCTTCCAGGGATCCAGTTGAAGCTGGTGTCCCTTCTGAGGAGCTTCACTTATGGATTTATTGTCGTTTGGGCAACTTGACTTCAGTTTACGCATCTCTTTATAAAATGTTTATTTTAAAAAAAAATAAATAAAAATAAATCTACAGTCCAAACAAGCTGTTCCATTAGCTTGGACTGCCGAGATTGATTTATGGAAATCTCAGCCTCTTTTGTCTTCTGTGGAACTCAAATCAAAATATTTATCAAGCCGAAATTCTTCAGCTGCGTCACTGCCAGGAGTACATCTCGGTTGAGTAATCCTCCACCGTCAGAAGTTTGTTCTGTTCCTGTTTTTGGGAGAGAGGCTTTTGCAAGGAATGAACGGAAAGGGGGGGGGGAGATTATGAGTCTATCTCTGCTCCCCCCCCCTCTTCTCCACCGAGAGCTGGCTTGCTTACTTCAGAGATGTAGTAATGGCCTCGCTGGATGGGATCTGAGATCGAAACTAGAACGCTGGCCAAACATATGCTGCCGAACAGAATAAGAACAGGCCCCTGACGTAAAAGCCACCTCTTTCTCCATATTTTGTGTCCTCTTAAAGATGTCCTTGGATTTAGAAAAGTTCAGTGTCGGCCCTTCCAGGAAGCATTAGGAAAATAAAGGAGGGAGTAGAGGGGGGGGTGTAATTGATAGAGACCCCTCCCTTGATATATTGGCAGATCTGGCCCAAATCCAGACAGAGAGAGATTCATCTGGAAGACATTATTATTTTTATTAGAGAAGGAAGAAGTTGCTTTTTTTTTTTTAAAGGGGAAATAATGGATCTTGGAACCTTTTTTTTTTTCCCCAGGTGTGGTCCCGCTGCCCGACACCGCCCTGGATTTCTCTGATCTCAGGAGCAGCAACAGCAACAATGCCGCACAGCAGAACGGCCGGGTGAGTTGTGAAATCAGTAGGTCTATGGATAGCCATGAATCTCCAGCCAAGGGGGGGGGGAGAGAGAAATGGGTATTTCTTTATTGATATGGTTGTGTATCCGCCTAGACCGGGATTTCCCAATCTTGACAATTTTATGATAGGTGGACATCAAACTCCCAGAATTCCCCAGCCAGCTGGCTTTCGTGCCTAAGGTGGGACTACTGAATAGGGAATTCTTGGAGTTGAAGTCCACTGAACTCAATGAACTTGGAGGAGTATTCCCTATGCAGGTGTCCTTTTGTTCCTTCCAGCCTTCTATTTTGATTTTATTTTGATTGATTGATTGATTTTTAGAATAACGACGACTGGACCGTATGCAACCGTTGCGAGACCTACCGGCCACCCCGGGCCCATCACTGTCGCATTTGTCACCGTTGCGTCCGCCGGATGGATCATCACTGCCCTTGGTGAGGTTCAAGGTTTGAGTGGCTTGGGAAGAGACAAGGACCCCTTGGCCCTCAGCTGCTCAGCCTGATGGGTTCTGTGGCACGGCTAGGCCGTGTGACCCACTTAGCTGCAGCGATTCACTGACCCACTGGGGCAAGACAAGTCGTAAGGGGGCAAAGCTCACTTAGCAGATGTCTCCCTTGGCAGCCTAAATTCTGGGCTCAGCGGTGGCCGTAAATGGAGGACTGCTTGTCGTGGATTTTTGACATTGCTGTGAATTTCTTTTCAAGCAATATTGGTTCTTTCCACAGGATCAACAACTGTGTGGGAGAACTTAACCAGAAATACTTCATCCAGTTCCTCTTCTACACAGGTACTGTTTCCTCAGCTGCAGTGGGGAAGGAAGGAAGGAAGGAAGGAAGATAGGAAAGAAGGAAGTGGGAGGGAAGGGAGGGAGGAAAGAGGAAAAGAAGAAAGAAAGAAAAAAAGAAAGAAGGAATGGAAGAATGAAAGAAAGAAAAAAGAAAGAAAAGAAAGAAAGAAAAGAGGGGAGGGAGGAAGGAAGGGAAGGGAAGGAGGAAGGGAAGGAAGGAATTGGTACACAGGAAAGAAGGAGAGAGAAAAATGAAGGAAGAGAACAATGGACAGAAAGGAGGGGGATGGGAGGGAGGAAGGAAGGAAGGAGAAATGGAGGGAAGAAGGAAGGAATCGATACATAGAAGGAATGAGAAAAAATAAAGGAAAAATTGACCAAAGGGAGGGTGGGAGGGAGGGAGGAAGGAAGGAAAAATGGAAGGGAGGAAGTGATACATAGAAGGAAGGAGAAAAAAATGAAAATGTTGATAGAAGGCAGGGTGGAAGGAAGGAAGGAAGGAAGGAAGGAAGGAAGGAAGGAAGGAAGGAAGGAAGGAAGGAAGGAAGGAAGGAAGGAAGGAAGGAAGTTTAATCCAAAGTGGGAGAGTTGCTTTTTGGAATTGGAGGTGCACTTGTGGCCTTCCTCCACTAGAGGCCGCTCTAGCCCCACTTGTCTTCCCTTACCTCTCCACCTCCTCCAAAACCTACAATCGGTTTACACTCTGTAGTGCAGGTACTCTTCGACGTGACCACCAGTCACAGTGGCACTGAAAAAAAGGTGTCTTTTTCGCACCTACGACGACTGTTGCAGCATCCCCTGCGGTCACGGGATCAAAATCCGGACGTTTGGCAACCGACTCATATTTTTGACGGCGGCAACGTCTCCTGGGGTCACGGGCTCCTCTTTTGACAAGCAGAGTCAATGGGGAAGCTTGGTTCATTTAATGACCGTGTGACTGACTTCACAACCCTGGCGTTTCACTTAATGGCTGTGACCGGAAAAGTCATAAAATGGGGGGGAAGCCTCACTTTAACTGTCCTGCTTATCTGCAGAAATTTTAGCCTCCGTTGCAGTCCTATTGTCAAAGATTACCTGTACAGAAAAACAGAGCTGGAAGGGACCTTGGAGGTCATCTAGTCCAACCCCCTGCTCAAGCAGGAGACCCTAGACCGTCCCAGATACAACCTCTTCTTAAAAATCTCCAGCGAAGGAGGCAAACCGTTCCGCTGATTCCACCGATTTTCCCAGGAGGGCTAGAAAACCTCCTGAAACATTAGACCCAGCCCCCCCCCAAAGACTGCATGGGGAACCCTTTCCCACCCCCATCCCACCCCCCCACCCCGCCCATCAGCGGTGGGAACGGACGAGAAGGAGCCTGCAGGATTAACGAGGGGTGCAGGGAAAGACTTGGCTTGCGGACTTCCTTCCCTCTCTTCAATTTTCCTGGCGTCGGGCTGACCTAATTCTCTCGGCCTCAGGCTTGGCGAGCCTCTACGCCATGGGGCTGGTCTTGACCACCTGGGTGTGGCCCCTGGAGAGGACCTCGGCCAGCAGACCCGAAGGATACCAAGACGGCGTTCCGGGCAGCCCGGTCCAAATGTAAGTCCTCCCGCTTTCTTTTCTCCCAGTGGGGTTTTTAAAAATAATTAAAAAAAAATCTTATTTTTTTTTCTTATCCCCCTTCCTCCAGAAATGGGGAGGTGGGGCCATTGCAGACGCCTTTTCTGCTTTTCTTCACTGGGCCTTAAAAAAAAAGAAATATAGTCAGAGAAAATTGCCATGTCACCGAGTCCTTGCCAAGAACAACTGGAGCGCCAGAATTTTGGCCGGGATTCGGGAGAGAAAGATCAGCCAAGCTGGCCTTGAGGGAACAGCCGCTCTCTCTCTCTCTTTCTCTGGGCTGTTGGGAGCACAAGAAAAGTTTTCAGTTCTTCTCCTCCTGCGCTTGGTGGGGCTGGGAATGTGGACGGAAGCGGAAGTTGCTTCTGCTTTTAACAGAATAAACAAAAAATTGGAAGGGACCTTGGAGGTCTTCTAGTCCAGCCCCCTGCTCAGGCAGGAAACCTTATCCCATTCCAGACAAGCGGTGGTCCAGCCTCTTCTGGTAGCAAGTCGTCCCCCTGGTTAATTGAAGAGAATCCCCCAGCCAGCACTCGTTAGGACGGATGGACTTCAAGTCCCAGAATCCCCCAGCCAGCATGCTTTAAGATGGATGGACTTCAAGTCCCAGAATCCCCCAGCCAGCATGCTTTAAGACGGATGGACTTCAAGTCCCAGAATCCCCCAGCCAGCATGCTTTAAGACGGATGGACTTCAAGTCCCAGAATCCCCCAGCCAGCAGCTTTAAGAGGTGTGGAGTTCAACTCCCAGAATCCCCCAGCCAGCATGCTTTAAGATGGATGGACTTCAAGTCCCAGAATCCCTCAGCCAACAGGTTTTAAGAGGGGTGGCCTTCATCTCCCAGAATCCCCCAGCCAACGTCGGAAATGCAGGGCAGACTGGGGAACTCTGGGAACTGAAGTTGCAGAAGGAACTGCCGTGTCTACAAATGCTTGCCTCGGCTTTGTGTGCCCCACTTCCACAGTGGCCCTTGCTTGGGTCCCCTTCAGCTACAGGAGGGTCTCCCCCCTCCCCGCCCAGGGATTTGGGCCTGCAGGACCTGCGAAGTAAAGGGTGAAGACCCCACAGGGTCTGCTTCAGGCCCCCCCCTCTCCTAAAGCCCCCCCATCTCTTCCGCCTCCGAATACGTCGAATGGATTCCCCCCTCCGTCTCCATAACTCTTCAACCGATCCCTGATGCTCTGCTTTTTCCCTCCCCCCCCCAACCCTTCCAGTGCTCACCGGATCATCTTACTGGTGGAGTCGATCCTCTTCGGCCTCTTCGTCACGGTGATATTTTACGACCAGGTGAGGTTGTAAAGCGGGGCAGAGGCCGGTTGGGGAAGCTCCTCGCCGGAGACCCGCCCCTCAAACCTTCTCCCCCCTCCCTCCGAAACCCCGTCTGCCTCCCAGGTGGTCTCCATCATCACCGACGAGACCCCCGTCGAGCAGCTACGCAGCCGGCTGCAGAAAGAGGGTCCGCGGGCGGGGAGTCACACGCGCAAGCCCAAGATCGCCCTCCTGCGCGAGGTCTTCGGCCGAGGTGGGTCTGCACTGCAGCTTAGGGGAGCTTCCTTTGCCTCCTCTTCCTCTTTTCTCCTTCTCCCCTTCCTCTTCCTCTTCCTTTCCTCCTCTTCCTGCTTTCCTTCTCTTCTCCTTCTCTTCCTTTCCTTCTCTTCTCCTCCTCCTCTTTTTCCTCTTCCTCTTTCCTTTCTTCTCCTCTCTTTCTTCCTCCTCTTCCTCTTCCTTCCCTTCCTTCTCCTTCTCCTCTTTGTCTTCTTTCTCTTCTTTTCTCTCCTCCTCTTGCTTTCCTTCTCCCTTTCCTTCACTTCTTCTTCCTTTTTCCTCCTTCTCCTCTTTCCTTTCTTCTCCATTTCCTCCTCCTCTGCTCCTTTTTCCTCCTCCTCTTCCTCTCCTTCTCCTCTTCTCCTCCTCTTTCCTTTCTCCTCCTCCTGCTTCTCCTCTTCTTCCTCTCCTTTTTCATCTTCATTTCCTTCTCCTTTTTCCTTCTTCTCCTCTCCTCTTTTTCCTCTTCCCCTTCTTTCTCTCCTTCTTCCCTTTCCTCCTCCTCCTCTCCTTCCTCCTCCCCCTTTATGCTGGGGTGTGGAGGGAGAGGCGAAATCTGCGCCCCCACCCAAGACCTCTCCTCTGCTCTTTTCCCCTCCCAGGTTTTGTCCTCTGCTGGTTCTTCCCGTGCAACCTCACCTCGCCGTCGGCCAGCGGGCCCTCCTACAGCTACTTGCCCAACTACGACGTCTGACTGCTCTCTGGCCCGTCCCTCTCCGCTTGCTTCTCTTTCCCTCTTGGGGGGGGGCTTCAGCCCTCACCCACCCCCGGGCCGAAGAAGTCAACGCGGACCAGGCGAGGTGACCCTAGCTGGAACGGCTCGGGCCCAAGGCGGAAGGGGTGCGGCCGACGGGCTGGCATTCGAATCTCGGCACCTTCTCGCCTCTTCTTGGTGGTGCGTTTCTCCGGACGGCATCCAGGCTTCACCGCCAGCCCTGCACGGCGGTCTTGTTTAGGAACCGCTTTGGACCGCAAAGCAGAACTAGGGCTGGGAGGAGGCTCCCGTCTCTTTTGAGCCGATCCCTTCATCCCGTCCACCCTCCCGAGAGGCCGGATCTCCTGACCTCCAGGAACAAGGGATCCCAGGATCATTCGGGTCCTCCCGATTCCTCTTAACGGGGACCTTGTCCTGCTAAGTTGCTGCCTGGCCCCAGACAGGCGATCCAACAGGTAGGGAAGGCCAAAATTATTTCTCTTTTTCGCTCGCCACCCCGGCCCGATTTCGGCACAGCTACTCCTCGGCGTGCTTTGGATTCCTGGGGATGCTGCAACGGTCGTAAGTGTGAAAAAAAACGGTCCTCAGTCCCTTTATCCAGTGCCGTTGTAACTGTGAGCGGTCACTAAATGAGCTGTCGTAAGTCAAAAACTCCCTGTCGTCAAAACAAGGAGCGGGATTCATTTTGCTTCCTTTAGCCAGAATTTTCCCTCCTGCCTCCTCCAGACTCATCCCCCCCCCCGTATACCTGTAAATAGACTTATTTATTAACTTTATTTATTGAGGCTGCCTCCTTGGCAGTTAAAAGAAAAAAGGCAAACGGGTTAACAGTCCATCAGCAGATTTGTCTGAAGCTAAGTCTCCCAGGAATAAACCATCATTGCTTGAATCAGGCGACTGTTGCTCCTTCCTTCTCTGATCTGGATTCCGGGGGTTGATAGAACCTGGGATTCATTAGAGCTAGATCAGTGTTTTGTCAGCCTTGGCCATTTTAAAAGGGGTGGGCTTCAGCTCCCAGAATCCCCCAGCCAGCCAGCTTTAAGAGGGGTGGACTTCAGCTCCCAGAATCCCCCAGCTAGCATGCTTTAAGAGGGGTGGACTTCAGCTCCCAGAATCCCCCAGCCAGCATGCTTTAAGAGGGGTGGACTTCAACTCCCAGAATCCCCCAGCCAGTAACACTGAACCGAGATGCTTGCAATGCAAGGGAGCTGGGATGAAAAGCGTCCCTCTTTATCCTGTTGCATGGCACAAAGACGCAACCCAGCCTTTTTGAAATGCCCACATGGGATTTCTCCGGAGTAGCAAGGCTGAGCTTTGAGCAAATACACGTCAAAATAAAAGATAATAACCATTAAGTATCCGGACCCACCAATTCCACTCAAATTTCACAATGCCCTCACCCAATTGCATCCAGAACGACCCTCCATGTGCAAAGTTGTGCAACAGACAATTTGTGAAAAGGAACAACCCCCCCCCCCAGCAACCCACAAAATTGCGGACTTTAGTTGTGCAAACTACACACGCTTTACTCCTCCGAGCGAACATCTGACATCAAGATACGTCCCGAGTCAGAATCTCACCCATTGTATTTTATTTTATTTTATTTTTAAAAGGCAGGGAGAGCTCAGATGGAAAAGATTTTGGAGAACAGGGAGTTCGTTGTGTCTCTGTGTTTTTTTATTTTATTTATTAAAGTGGGCTTATCCAGTTTGCATGTTGCGAAAGCACCTCTAAGCTTGCGGGAACATCTGTCGGAAGCAACAGCTGCATCGGTTGGTTGGGGCTACTAGGGCTGTTTAGCCGGTTGTGTAAGCTTCCCCTGTTTCGTTAACTTCCTGCCTTTTGGAAAACCTCAGAAAATGAATGAATTCAGCATCTCCGATGCAACAACCGGTAGCTCAGATGCTTCCCAAAGGGAGCCAGAAATTCAGTATGCAGCTAAGTCCTCAATTTAACGACCGAGGCCCAAATTGCAGATGTAAGTTAAGTGAATTGGGCTTTCCCGTTGACGTTGCTTGTCACATGAACCTGGGATGCTGGAACCATCAGTTGCCGAGTGTCCGAATTTTGATCACGCGACCCTTGGGATCATAAGCGTGAAAAACGTTTTCCCAAGTCGCTTTTTTCCAGCGCCGTTGTGACTTCCAAACGGTCGCTAAACGAAATGTATTTGCCTCTCGCTGGCCCTACTCATCCGCCCCGTCCTTTGTGTTCGAATCGTGCCTTTGGACGAATTGGGGAGACCCTCCGAAAATGGGTGCCTGGCTTACATTTTGGTGTGGGTTCATTTGGGAAGCCAGAAGTGTTTTTCCAAAAGGCAACTATAATAATAATAATAATAAAGTTGGAAGGGACCTTGGAGGTCATCTAGTCCAACCCTCTGCTCAGGCAGGAAATCCTATACCATTTCAGACAAATGGCTGTCCAATCTCTTCTCAAAAACATCCAGTGTTGTAGCATTCACTACTTCTGGAGGCAGGTTGTTAATATAATAATAATAATAATAATAAAGTTGGAAGGGGCCTTGGAGGTCATCTAGTCCAACCCTCTGCTCAGGCAGGAAATCCTATACCATTTCAGACAAATGGCTGTCCAATCTCTTCTCAAAAACATCCAGTGTTGTAGCATTCACTACTTCTGGAGGCAGGTTGTTAATATAATAATAATAATAATAATAATAATAATAATAATAATAATAATAATAATAATAAAGTTGGAAGGGACCTTGGAGGTCATCTAGTCCAACCCTCTGCTCAGGCAGGAAATCCTATACCATTTCAGACAAATGGCTGTCCAGTCTCTTCTTAAAAACTTCCAGTGTTGGAGCATTCACTACTTCTGGAGGTAGGTTGTTAATAATAATAATAATAAAGTTGGAAGGGACCTTGGAGGTCATCTAGTCCAACCCCCTGCTCAGGCAGGAAACCCTATCCTATTTCAGACAAATGGCTGTCCAGTCTTTTCTCAAAAACTTCCAGTGTTGGAGCATTCACCACTTCGGGAGGCAGGTTGTTCCACCGGTTAATTGTTCTAATTAGACTTTCTTGTTTTTTGGTTTTTTTTCCTTTGAAAATGTTTCGCTTCTCATCCAAGGGAGCTTCTTCAGTTCGTTCCTTAAGAGAAGAAATGAAACGTTTTCAGGGGGGGGGAAACCCCAGAAAGTTCAGTTGCCTTTTGTGGGGGCGGGGAGAGAAAACACTTTTGGAACAGCCATGACCTGGATGATAGGGAATCTCCAGCGCCACGTAATTTGGGAATGTTTTACTCCAGGTGTGTTTTCTCGGCTTGGGCCGCGATGGGTGGAGGTGCAAAATACACCCCTATAAACATCTCAGCACCTGTGTATAGCAAGAGACATTCAGGAAAAGCTAGAATTGGGCAATTTTGCATAAATAACGCCTGCTGTAACTATCAGGAAGACAAGAGAAGGAGAAGAGGGAAGTTTTGATTTCTGCAATCAGATAATGTGAGAATTGGATCGCTTCCAGGCCTCACTCCGTAGCCTTAAAGCATCGGAGTCGGAATAGAGCTGGAAGGGACCTTGGAGGTCTTCTAGTCCAGCCCCCTGCTCAAGCAGGAGACCCTAAGACCATCTCAGACAAGTGACTGTCCAGTCGCTTCTTAAAAACCTCCCAGATATTGTGGGAAAAGGGAAAAGGGCGGATGCCCGCCGTCCCGCTTGGATTGAGGAAGGAGGTGGGTGGGGATCTGAAGAAGCCATAAAGCAGGCAGCTTATTTCCCCCACTTCTCCCCCCCCCCCGCTGCAGAGACCAGCTGTCAATCCCATCAATCTCTTTTTCCAAGCATCCTTCCTGCCCAACAGCTGTTTTTGTGACTTATCACGGCTCGGTTCCTTGAACGTCCCAAAAATGAAATTCCAGACTGGGCTGGACAGAAGATCCTTAAAAATCGAGGCTCCCCCATGGAAGGAAGATTATGCTGTTCCCTCTTCCGTGGGTCTCTGCTTCCCCCCCCCCATCAGTGTTTCTCAACAACTTTAAGGCGTGTGGACTTCCACTCCCAGAATTCCCCAGCCAGCACGCTTTAAAATGGGTGGACTTTACACTTTAAGGTGGGTGGACTAACACCCCAAATTCCCCAGCCAGCACGCTTTAAGGTGTGTGGACTTCACACCTTAAGGTGTGTGGACTTCCACTCCCAGAATTCCCTAGCCAGCACGCTTTAAGGTGGATGAATTTCAACTCCCAGAATTCCCCAGCCACCAGACCAAGTGACATTTTCTGCTAACAATCCCCCCACTTCCTGCCTCAACCTGGCTTTTACCCCCATAAAGAACCATGCGGCACCAGGAGTGACTTTATAAATAGCCTTAAATAAATAAAACCAGCAGCATTTTATTGCTTTTTAGAAAAACAACAACAAACCATTAATAAACCATCATTAATAATATTAACATAATGCTTATTAACCCAATGGATACACAGGCCCTGCCTCCTGGCCCGGGGAACTTGCCTCGGAGCTTCAGGCGACGTTCGGCTGCTGCCCGTTAAATTATAACTTAATTAAATTAACTTCGGTCAGCGATCCCTTTGGCCACGGGAGAAAACTGGAGGGTCCCATTGAAAAGGTTCCCCTCTGATTCTACAGAGGGTTTAAATAGATCCACCCCTCCAGGGGGGAAATTTTGGGGAGATTTTCTGGGATAGGGACCACCGCGAGAAGATCAAGTCAGGCTGAAGAGCGGTTAGCAAAGAAGAACTTGGAAAGGTATCGTGTCCTGCCTTATCGCTCCCCCCCCCAAAAAAAAATGGGGAGAAGAGACCCTCCTTTTTTGAAAGCATCAGACTCTCCTAGGAAGAAGTTCTAGCTGGTGCTTAGGTGGGACAATGTCTTGGAGAAGGAGGTGAGAAATAGGTAAGGCATGGTCAGCTGCCAAGATTGATTTGTGGACTTCAACTGCCAGAATTGGCCCTCCACCTCCACCTTCTTTTAGTCTAATGTGAGCAGAGGACGTTGGCCTGCAAAGCTAATTCACTCCATTGGAGGTCTTCTTCTCCAGATGTTCCACTGCTTTGCTCTCCTACAATTTGGAGGTCCTCCCAAGACCCAACCCCTTGGATCAATGGTGCAAAGGATCTCCGCCTAGCCCCCTGGATCCGTCTTCCTCAGCCTTGGCCATCTTGAAGAAGGGCAGGACGTCAACTCCCAGAATTTCCCAGGAGGACGTCAATGAGGTCGAGCCAGAATGGAGCTTGACCCAAGCTGACCTCCAAAGTGGGCTCCCAGGTCAACAGGCACAGCTGGTTATGAGACCCAGAAGAGGACACAGGTTGGCTGGGGAATTCTGGGAGGTGAAGTCTTCAAGGTACCAAGGTTGAGAAACCAGGTCTGGAGAGCACGGTAGGGTTGAAGGACCTCCATTCATGGCGCGATTGAAACCCTTGCTCCTCAAAGGGATGGGACGGGATGTCCTACCCCAGGTCTGCAATTTGTCTGGAGAAGTTAGATGTAGGCCGGACTTTGGAAAGATGGGCGCCCACCGGCCGAGGACAGAATAACATTCTTAGAAGCAGGAGAAGAGATGAAAAGAGGAGGAATTACTCCCAAGAATGAGGTAGACAAAGTGATTGAGACGCCTTTGCTGGCCGTCCCAAGAAACGGGTGGGTGTAAAGTACAGGTGGTCCTTGGCTTACAACGATCCATTTAACGACCGTCCCAAGTTACAACATCACGGCGAAAGAAGTGACTTATAACCAGTCCTTGCGCTTCATAACGAATGTCGCGGCATCTCCACGATCAAAATTGGGGTGCTTTTGGCAACCGGTATATATTTACGACGGTCGCAGCATCCCGGGATCCCGTGAGCGCCATCAGCCGGCTTCTAACGAGCAAAGTCCGTGCGGGAAGCGGGATTTGCTTCACGACCGCCTGATTCACTTTAAGAACCACAGGGATCTGCTTATCCACCCTGGCCGAAAAGACCATAAAATAGTATGCCGCTCGTCAGATGTTGCTTAGACCCGTGGAGATGCTGGTCTCAATTGCGCTCGTAAGTCGAGGACCACCGAGCAAGTCGTGCGAGCGCGAAGGAACCTGCTTGATTCTCAAAAATGTGTGTGGCCAATCGCCTCTCCCCTTTCCCCAGATCTCCTCTCTGCTTCCCCAAAAGGACAAATAAATAGATGAAATAATAAATATACTACAGGAACAGCCGGAGACGAACCATCAAAACGTCCACGGAATTGATCCACGACAGAGCTCGGATACGACTTTGCAAGTCCGGTCTCCGTTTTCTTCGGCTTCTTGATATTTTTGTTCCACCAAATCCCAAAGTGGTTTTTCCTCTCCTTCCCACCCCCCTTTTTTTTTTGGCTTTTGAAAAGTTTTTTTTCCCATTCATCTTTTCCGTCCATTCTTCCCACGTTCTTCCCCACAAATCTCTCCGGAGGGAATTATTTCAGCCTAAGAAATCAGTGCTAAAAATTTTAGCCCCATCGCCACAATTCCTGGCCGGTTCATAGTCTTTCCTTTCCCTGTTCCCTGGTCCCAGATCTGACTCCTGCTTCGCTTAACGTCCAAACTAATTGTCCGTGGCAAGCCGAGAAAACAGGAAGACCCCCCCCCTCTTAATTCCAGCCTTTGCCGAGCAGTCTGAGTTTTTCGGCCCTGGGTCCCTTGCAACGGGAGGGAGGGGTCCTCTTGGCAAATAGAGGCAGGGGCAAACTTCTTCCCCCTTTCCCACAAGGTGGGGAGGGGGAACGGGAAGAGTCTGAGACCCCCTGCCCCACATCCTCCTGCCAAGGCGTCCTATTTGCGTCCTCGCCGACTCTGTAGCACCTCCAAAATTCGGGCTTTCTGCTTCAGCCACTGATTGGAGAGGCGTTTGGTGGGCTTGGGGACGAAGAAGGTGTATTTAAGGCGAGGGGTCTTCTGATCGGACACCACCAACGCTTGCAAGGTGAGCGGCTCTTTCAGGGGTCCCAGGCCAGTGATCATCTCCATCGGCTTGGTGGCCCCGCTGTAGCGCAAGGTGACGCCGCCGCGGAGGTGAACGTCCTGCTCGGAGGGGATCAGGATGTAGTTGCCGTTCAGGGCGTAGGAGCCGTCTCGCCGGCGGAGGGCCAGGTAGATGCCGTCGCTGGCCGTCGCCGAGCTGCTGATCTGGCGGATCAGGAGGCTGGTGGCTCCGGCAGGGATGGTGACCACGTCGTTGTAGCCGTACCTGTGGGTTGGAGAGACAAGATGCGGAAAGGTGAAAGGCTGGCCGTGAAAGGGACCAAGGTTCAGTTAGGTGTTTTGTTCTCTTGTCATGCGAGATGGTGAACGTGCTAAATAGGCCTTCCTCCTCCTGTTTTCCCCACCACATCCACCCTGCGAGGTGGGCTGGGCTAAGGAAGAGGGCGTGGCTCCATGTCTGTCATTTGGCTTTCATGAACGCAGGACTAGAATTCACCCTCTCCTGGTGATTGGTCCAGAGTCACTCAAATTGGCTTTGCTGTCTAAGCAGGACTAGAACTCACAGTCTCCTAGTGATTGGTCCAAAGTCACCCAATTGGCTTTGCTGTCTGAGGTGGGATTAGAACTCACTCTCTCCTGGTGATTGGCCCAAAGTCACCCAACTGGCTTTCCTTTTTCTAAGGCGGTACTAGAACTCACCATCTCCTCATGATTGGCCCAAAGTTACACAGTCAGCTTTCACGTCTAAGGCAGGACTAGAACTCCTGGTTTTTAAGCCAGCACCTTCACCAAGCCACTAAAGTGGCATTCCTGTCTCTAAACTAAATTTAGCGAGATGGGGCGGTGCAGAAATTGGAAATAAATCAATAAATAAAACCATCAGCTTTCCCGTTCAGTCTGTTTATTTTCTCACGCTTACAGCCTACCTACCCCAATCCTTGAGGACTTTCAGCCCTGTGTCACAAAAGCCAGAGTCAGCAACAATTGCAAAATTAAAACAGTGTTGTAAAAAAGTCGACATTTAGCCCCCATTGGCCCCCTTTTTAACTATTGGAAGTCGTAATTTGGGGGGAACCATCGATCTTTCAACGTGCCCCGCTATTCTGGAGTCACTAAGACCTGCCACAGTTTCAATCGCTCAAGCTCCTTGTACACGTGGCATCGAGTTTTATAAAAAAAATAAGTATACAGAAGGAGTGGTTAGCTTGGCAGCTGGGCAAGCTAACTTGCTGGACACACACACACACAAAAAAACCCCACCAAAAAACCCTCGGCAGGATAGGAGAGGGTGACTCACAATTTGCAATTTGCAGGAGATTTTGGGGGGAGAACCAAAGAGAAAGAGCTTTGAAATCACAGGAGATCCAAGTGTCTTACATCTGGAAAATCCAGATGTTTCAGCCTGGTTTTTTTCTCGGGCTGCTGGAAAGCTCCAGCTATTTGCTTTTTAAAACTTGATTAATCCTCTCGGAGGGAAACGGGCTTGAATAAATTACCCGGGTCAAAAGCGGAGGAAACGTGGACCCGCTTTGGTGTTTCAGCGTGGCTGCAAAATGCTAGGGTTGGAATGATGCACAAGGAGCATCTTAGGGCTACCTTACAGCTGTTGGGGTCAACCCTGCGAATGCAGGCAGTCCTCGATTTACGACTACAATTGGGATGGGAATTTCTGTGGCTAAGCCAGGCGGTTGTTAAGAGAACAGCGCCCGATTCTACGAGCTTTTTTTTTACAAACTTTTTTTCCTACGGTGGTTAAATGAAACACGGCCGTTCTTAAGTGAATCTCGCAGTTGTTAAGCGAATCTGGCTTCCCCCGTTGATTTTGCTTATCGGAAGCCAGCTGGGAATGTCGCAAATGGGGATCACGCGACCCCAGGATGCTGCAGCTTTCTAAATTACACCCCGGTTGTCGAGCGGCCAAATTTGGATCGCGTGACCGTGGGGATGCTGCGACAGTGGTAAAGGCGAGGCTCTTTCTAAGTCACTTTTTTCAGCCTTGTTGTAACTGGGAATGGTCGCTAAACGAGTGATTGTAAGCCAATGACGACATGTAGATTAAGACATTGAAAGGATGACTAGTATGTCAGTTTGCAATTCAGAGCAGTCCCGCTAACCACAGTTGGAATGGTTACTAAATGGTTGTAACTCAGGGACTCCCTGCAGGATGAAAGTTGCCCATGGCAAGCTCAGCTTTTAACAGAATAACAGTCGTAAGGGGCCATGGAGGTCATCTAGTCCTACCCCCAGCTAAGCAGGGAACCCTATCCCATTTCAGACAAATGGTTGTCCAATCTCTTCTTGAAAACCTCCAGTGGAAGGAGGGAGGGAGGAAGTAAGGAAAGAAAAAAAGAAAAAAGAAAAGAAAAGAAAAGAAAGAAAGAAAGAAAGAAAGAAAGAAAGAAAGAAAGAAAGAAAGAAAGAAAGAAAGAAAGAAAGAAAATAGCAGAATAACAGAGTTGGAAGGGACCTTGGAGGTCATCTAGTCCAACCCCCAGCTAAGCAGGGAACCCTATCCCATTTCAGACGAATGGTTCTCCAATCTTTCTTTAAACCACCTTTTCAAGATCTCAAGCCAAAAGGCCACTTACTGAGGCTTGGTGAAGGAGCGATAGACTTTGGTGCATTGCGAGTTGTCTCCACCGCACACCATGCATTTGTCAAACTTTTTCTTGGATCCGATGACGCGATCACAGCCGGCATGGATGCAGCGTCCCTGGACACAGACCGAGGTAGATTCTGGTGAGCAGGGCGTCCCATCAGCCACCTAGAACAAAGGAGGGATCCCGTTTTAGTCCTTGATCTGCCACTTTTTAGACGTTGCAGCCGCCGGCTGATAAGTTAGCGACCACCGAAGCACGTCTGAAGGAAGACACTCAAATGCTCGTCTCTGGTCAGGACCGAAGTCGCGGTTTCCTGGCTTACAACTTACCCTTGGCTCCAGCACGTAGTAGTAGCCCAAAGCATGGGATTGACAAGTCAGCTTGCATTGATCGCGCTTGGCCACACCGCTGTAACGAGGGACCCAGTCCATGGGCGCGGGATAATCTTTGAACATGTCCGTTCGGTGGTTGTACACGGCGCACTGTTGCTCACGGAAGGTCAGAGCTGGATGGGAGTTAAAAGAAAAAAAATCCCACCTTAGAATCAATTTTGAGAAGGGAAAAACAGGTGGGAAAAAAATGCCCCGTCGTAAGTCGACGATTACTTTTATGGGTAGTCCTCAACCTACGACCTCGATTAAACCCAAAATTTTTGTTACTAAGCAAGACATTTCCTTGCCTCACTTGAATCCCTGCAGATGTTAAGTTAGTTACATGGCTAGTAACTTTGATTATCAGAAGGTTGTAAAAGGAGATCACTGCAACTGTCATAAATATGAGTCAGTTGCCGAGCACCTGAATTTGCATCACACGACCGTGGGGGATGCTGAACGGTCGTAAGTGTGAAAACAGTTGTAAGTCCCTTTTTTCAGTGCCGTTGTAACTCCGAACAGCCACTAAACGAACCGTCGTAGGTCAAGGACTACCTGTATTTTGTTTTAGATCTCTCCCCCTGCAATTCGAGATTACTAACTAGAATAGAAATCTGTTTTTTTCACTCTAGCGAGCCAAGCATGTTTCGTTCTGGAGTCTCGCTCTGAAATTCCTTCCCGGCTTGGCGCAAACATCTATTGCCAGATGTTGCCAGAGCATATCTTGGCTCCGGTCTCCGCATTCATGGCTGGTCATAAATCAGAAAAAACAGGACCCTCCCTTCCGCTGACCCTTTGCGCTTCGGGATTGTTTTCCCTGGCTCACACCCCTTCCATTGTTCACATTTTTTTGATGAGCTGTTGTGTCCATCAAAAAAAGGTGAAGGTGGATCACAGATCCCCTTGGAGATCTGTTTTTTTTTAGGTGAAATAAACAAAGCACCTCGGCTACAAATAAAAATAGGAATATATATATTTGTTTTCTGAGGTTTTTGCGGGTGTTTGTATGTAGGTCTTTGGTTGTTTGGGTTTTCTCCCGCGTAAAATTGGAAGTGTCTTGGCGACGTTTCGACGAAGTCCCATTCGTCATCTTCAGGCTGGTGTTTTCAGCTTCGTGCTTCTTCAGGCTGGTGTTTTCAGCTTCGTGCTGCTCGAAGTACGAAGCTGAAAACACCAGCCTGAAGATGACGAATGGGACTTCGTCGAAACGTCGCCAAGACACTTCCAATTTTACGCAGGACAAAACCCGAACAACCAAAGACCTACATTTTATATATATATATATATATATATCTGAGCTTACCGTTTCCATCTGGGCACTCCCGGACATTGCAAGAACGAAACTGAGTCCGTTTCCCCTCGCAATATTTGCCCCCATTCCGGGGAACTGGCTTGTTGCATTCCCGGGTCGAGTACTGGACCCCACCGCCGCAACTGCGGGAACAGTCACCCCACGGCCCCCAGGAGCCCCAACCTCCGTGGGTCGGAATCTGCAAGGATAAAGAAGGGAATTGAGTGAAGATAACGGGGCCTAATATACCAGAAGATTTAAAAAAAAAAAAAAAAACCAGCCATCTCGGATCCTGCATTCTAAATCCGAATTGCAGAGTGGCGATACAGGTAGGCCTCGGGTTAGCGACCGTAAAGCAGCCTGTCCATTACAGTTGTTAGGTTGCGGCGGTCATAAAATGGGCTGGTGATGTGACTGAGCTGATTTCTACAACCGTTTTGCAATTATTTAAGTTATGCGACCGTTTTGCTATCATCGTTAAGTGAACGTCACAGTTGCAAAGCAATTTAGAATAGAATTTACAATTATAAAGAATAGAATAGAATAATAGAATAGAACAATAACAGAATAGAGTAAGAAATAGTAGAATAGAATAGAGAAAATATGGAATAGAATAGAATAGAATTTACAATTTAGTATTTAGAATAGAATAGAATTTACAATTATAAAGAATAGAATAGAATAATAGAATAGAGTAGAAATAGAATAGAATACGAAATAATAAAATAGAATAGAGAAAATATGGAATTATAATATAGAACACAGAATAGAATAATAATAGAATAGAATAGAATAAGAAATAATAGAATAGAATAGAGAAAATACGGAATAGAATAGGATAGATAGAATAGGATAGGATAGAATAGAATAGAATTTACAATTTAATATTTAGAATAGAATAGAATTTACAATTACAAATAGAATAGTATAGAATAATAGAATAGAATAATAATAGAATACAATAAGAAAGAATAGAATAAAATAGAGAAAATATGGAATTATAATATAGAATAGAATAATAATAGAGTAGAGTAGAGTAGAACAGAATTGAATCAATCTTACACACTTACATTGTAGGCCTTCAGCTGCGTGTGACTGATGCATTCCCCGCTCATACAGCTCTTCCCTTCCCCGCAGGGAGTCCCGTCTGCCCAGGGAAAATATTTGGTCTGGCACATGAACTGCCCATTGATCTGGCCAGTGCACCAGAGTGAGGAGCAGGGTGAGTGCATATTGGGACAGTGGCGGGATTCGGTGCCGAAGCTGAGCTGGCATTGCTGGTCCACGTTGTAATTGCTGCCAGGGAAGACGGCGGGCAGCTTCAGCGGTTCGTGGGGCTTGTCTAAAAGGCAGGAACCTGAAGGGAGAAGCAAAACAAGAATGTTTATAAAGGTTGGCCAGATTTCCTGGGCATGAAAAATTCCATTTTTCAAACTGAAGCTCTTTTTCTGGTGCACGTTATTTAGAAAGTTCTCCACTTACAACCGTTCGTTTAGCAACCAGCACTGAAAAAAGGACCATTTTTCACACTTACGACCGTTGCAGCCTCCCTACAGCCACGTGATCAAAATTCAGATGCTCGGCAACTGGCATGTACTTGTGACGGTTGCAGTGTCTCCTGGGGGGGGGTCACGTGATCCCCTTTAGCGACCTTCTGACAAGCCCGGTTAGTAAGAGAGGCAGATTCGCTGAACCGCCATGTGACTAACAACTGCAGCAGGGCAAGGCTCGCCGAACGAGCGTCTCGCTTAGCAGCGGACATTGTGGGTCTTAAGTGGAGGGATTCCTGTATTTTATTTTTATTTTTTAAAAATCTCCTCTAAAGGAAAAGGCAGGTTAAGGAGGACTATCGGCCAGGAATGAACGTGAGAAGACGAGAAGAAAGAGAGACAGAATCGTACCGTGTCCGTTGTCCAAGAAATCGGTGATGAAGCGGCTACTACATGGGGACCACATCTCGTCGGGATTCACGGGAGACATGACGGAGGCCATCATGTGGCGGGTGCTGCTGTGACGGTTCAGCTCCTTGCAGTGTTTGTCGTCATCATGCAGCATGTTGAAGACGTGGCCTGCGAGTCGAGAAGGATGGTTTTAGTTTTGCGCCCTCCAGATCTCTCTGCCTGGGTGATCACAACCAGGGTGAACTTCCCTACTTTGCATTAGTTGACTTGGCCAAGGATATGGATATGGAAACTCGGCCCTTTTTTGGTTTGTTTCTTTCTTTACGTTTGATTTAAGCTGCTTAGTTGATTCAGATTGTTCAGACCCACTTACCCAATTCGTGGGCCGCAGTGAAGGCTGACTGGAGCCCATCATCCTCAACAATGGAACAACTGCGGGCCGGATCACAGACTGTGCCCACATCTGCCATGCCAAGGGTCCCACAGCTGGAGCGTCCACAGAGATCCTGCCAGCAAAGAGATAAACGTGTATTGTAAGAATTGTTTTCTCCTCTCTCCGTTAATGAGGCTAAGTTCCTAACATTTGTGCCATCTGGTTTCTGGTCAGCTCTGATGAAAGAAACCTACTTTTCGTAAAAAAATAAGAATTCAGCGGGAGGCTGACATTCTTTCAAAACTCAGGGCATAACAAAACTGTTTCCAAAGCTGGATTTTGGGATTTGTAATTGCAGGAATTCTAGAGAATTAAAAATGGCAAATTGCTGCCACCCAGAGTTTGGAAGGACCTTTTTTTATTAAAGCCATTGAAGTTGGCCAAGAATATCCTAGAGCGGCGTTTCTCAGCCTCGACTTCAACTCCCAGAATTCCCCAGCTAGCTTGACTTCAGCTCCCAGAATTCACCAGAGGCATGCTAGGAGTTGAAGTCCACTTGTCTGAAAAGTCGCCAGGGTGGAGAAACACCATCCTCGAAGGAACTTAAGGGAGATTTTCTTCCAATTTCCTTCTAGGAAATCGTTTTTTTCCACCTGGCCATTCCTGTTCCCCATTTTGTGAAAGCGCCTACAAGATGCTCTTTAAATCCCCCCCCTTCCAGGTTTCTGCCAACCTGTTTTTAGCCAACTCAGACGCCTGCGAGATGGGACAGGTGTCGCTTCTCACCTGTCTGGTGAAGAGAATGGCCGTGTCGAAATGCTCGGGGTCTTTATCGCTGGCCTTGTTCAGCCCTTTCTGCCAGCTGCAAAAATTGCGCAGGGTCTCGGCCGCATTGGAGGTGACCCTCAGCCCGTCCTCGGCTTCTCCAATCACCACCAGCCTGGTCACCACCAGGTTGACGGGATTCCGGACGCTCGGGTGGCGGAAGAACTTGGCAGCGGCTGCCATGATGGTGAGAAGGTACGGTTTGAGCCCGGCGCCGTGAAAGCGCATCATTTCTTCGTCCGCCACCACCAAGGTTTCCACGTAGCGTGGGATGGACGCAAAGCGCTGTGGGGAGAAAGGAAGGCACAGAAGGTTGAGGATAGGCTCTTTGGCCTGGGGGCTAAGGCACCATCTCACCAGGAGATGGTGAGTTCTAGTTCTGCCTTAGCCACCAAAGCCATCTGGGTGACTTTGAGCCAATCGTTAGCTGATGGTGACTTCTAGTTTTGCCTTAGCCACGAAAGCCAGCAGGGTGACTTTGGGCCAAGCACCAGGAGAGGGTGAGTTCTAGTTCCACCTTAGCCATTAAAGCCAGCTGGGGGACCTTCAAATCCCCCTCTCTCGCCCTGCCCACCTGACATGGGGAACATAGGAGGAGGAAAGTCTGTTGGACCTTGGGGTTGTTGTTGTTATTATTATTATTAGTTCCCGGGAAAGACCAAGAAAACAGGCAGGCAGGGAAGTCACCAAATTGGGGTCATCATTTCTTAAAAAATTCTTAACTCCCAGAATCCCCCAGCCAGCATGTTTTAAGATGGGTGGACTTGAGGAGGAGGAGGAGGAGGAAGGGAGGGAGGGAGGGAGGAGGAGGAAAAGAAGGAAGGGAGGGAGGGAGGGAGGAGGAGGAGGAGGAAAAGAAGGAAGGAAGGAGAAGGAGAAAGAGGAAGACAATAACTGTGGAGTCCTTGGTGCTCCCTGATTCTTTTCTTGCAGACGTCTTATTACCCAGCTAGGTAATATCATCAGTGCAAGAAGGGAGGAGATCTTTTTAGCTTCAGACCTTTTCCAGGGTTATTTCAAGAACAGGGACACTTTGAGGATGAGGCGACGGTTTCCAACCCACGTCAGAATCCCCACAAGTTGACTTGATTCGTCTCCCAGCCCGAACCTATCTCCCGTTTAGCCGTTTCTCCGGCTCCCTGAACATGACCCAGCCTTGCGAGAGTTAAATCTAAATTGCTGCTTTCAAGGCAGCCAAAGTTGGCTGCCTGGTCTGGCTTTCCCCAGCCAAGACAGGGCGCGGGGCGGTCTCTGTGGCTGGCACAAAGCCCCCAAATCCTCAAAACTGCGCGAGGACAGGCATGGGAGATGCTCAACAGAAGGCCCGGCGTGGGGCTAAGATCCCCATAGCATTGTGAGCCCGGCCACAGCTGCATTGCCAGGGGAGCTGGCTGTGTTGTGTGAACGCCACCCAATGCCTGGGCTGCCAATCCACCAAATATCCCCCAAACGTGGAGTTCACCCCCAGATTTTGTCCCCCCAAGCTTCTGCAGCCCTCTCTTAACGGCGCATTTAACCCCAGATCCAAATTCCCACGCTGGAGTTTAAAAACATTGTTTTAAACCAGTCGGGCGTCGTGAAAAACCTAATTCCACCCCGTTTGTTTTTTTCCCCCTCTTCTCCCCCTTCCAGATGCCTCTGGCTCGCTTGGGAGGAGAGAAATTCCTTCCATGGGAAAAAATTTGTTCTGCTTTAAAGAGCCGGGCGTAGCTGGGGCCAGGGCCAGACTAAGCAAAACCCCAGAGCGAGGGTTCACACAACCGTTCAAAGCAGAGGCCAGCTGTTCCTGCTTCCAGGCAAAAATGAGGGTCCCCCCCCCCCGACAGGCTACGAGAAAAGGTACAGCTGCATTTGCCAGTCCAACGTGTTTTTTGGGGGGTGGGGGGCGGAGGTTGGGGGTTCAGAGGGAGAGCCCGAACCCCCAAATGGAACAAAAGTTTCAAGCTGTTGGGGTTCAGGGCTGTAGGATCGTGGCTGGATTAGACAGTTGAGGTCGTGCATGGCCTGGAAAAGAGCGTTCCCCCCCCCTTTGTGCATCTTTATTTTTTTATTTTAATTGTTTGTATTGTGCCTTTGTTAGGTTTTATAATCATTTCGAGGCAGCGGACTTGGCTTATGTTCCTTCCCTCTCCTATTTTCCGTGGAACAATAATCCTGTGAAGAGGGTTGGACTGGAGATGAGAGGGAGGGACTGGCTCAAAGTCGCCCAGCTGGCTTTCATAGCTATTATAGAGCTAGAACTCACCGTCTCCTGGTGACTGGCCCAGAGTCACCCAGCCGGCTTTCATTCCTAAGGTAGGACTAGAACTCACCGTCTCCTGGTGATCGGCCCAAAGTCACCCAGCTGGCTTTCATGCCTATGCTAGAACTAGAACTCACCGTCTCCTGGTGATTGGCCCAAAGTCGCCCAGCTGGCTTTCATGTCCAAGGCAGGTCTAGAACTCACCGTCTCCTGGTTTCTAACCTGGCATCTCAACCATTAGACCAAGCTGACTCTTTTATATTAACCACTGGCCTAATAAATCTGAGGACCTCGTCTTCCGCTTCAGATCTCCAACTTGCTAGTAAACATAATTTCCAATTTCTTTTCCAAGTCATCCATGACTACAAATCTTGGTTTGGGCTACCCTGGTTTGGTCTGTCCCACCTCTGTTCTGGAAACTCAAGTCAGTGTTAAGAATTCGCCTTCTGTCTTTGCTGCTTTCCAGAGATGAGAGATTTGCTAGTCTGGGGTCCTGGGGGGCTCTCTGAGCTTGGTGGTTTTCTGGCAGACATTTCATGACTCAACTAAGTAACATCATCAGTGCTAGAGGGACAGAGGTTTGCTGGGAGGAGGAGAAGAAAGAAGAATAAAGGAGGAGGAGGAGGAGGAGGAGGAGGAGGAGGAGGAGGAGGAGGAGGAGGAGGAGGAGGAGGAGGAGGAGGAGGAAAGACTGTAGGGTCCTAGGGGCTCTCTGAGCTTGGTGGTTTTCTTGCAGACATCTGGTGACCCAACTAGCTAATGTCATCAGTGCAAACCCCTTCCTCTCAATGTTACCTAATTGGGTGATGAGAAGTCAACCTCAGTCTTCCTTTCAGCCTTATATTGTTTTAGTCCTTTAGTTATCTCTAGCTATCATAGGTTTTTATCTCCTCCTTAAGTCCATAGCTGGCTTTCCAAATTGACAGCCTTCTGGGACAGGACTCTGCTCCTGCTGGATCTGAGGGAGAACCTTAGCACCAGCCATGGGCCACCAGATCTGACAATGACACTGGTGCTCTGTTGAAGGAACACCCAGTAAACTGGGTCCATGAGATGGAGGAGACCCCAAGAAACCTTTTTACACCCCAAATGTGGGACTCCACACCAGAGAAAACTCTGAGAATGAATGTTCCTTCAGAAGACCCAGCCGAGACCCCAACACACCTGAGGAACCTTGAGCATCCTCACCAACCACCCCTTAATGAAGCTGGTGGACTTATCTACCTACCTTGGTTCTCCTGGGAGATGCATCCATTTTCTTCCATAGCTTTCCTTCTTCGCTGGACGCGCCCTCCGGCGCCTGCGCACCAACCCCACACATGGGCCCATCCCCTTTGTCCAACATCTTCTTCCTCACCACGTGGGCCTCGGTTCCTCCCTCCATGTTTGGGGTCCCCCCTCTCAGAGGCTGGATGTGATACTCGGTACCCCCATACTGCAGCACCCCAATCAAAGAGGCCCCGTCAAAACTGATTGCCACGATCGATTCCGGATCCGAATTGATTGTCCCGGTGTAGTAGTTGCCACGTTCGGTTGGAGTGTCCACCTCCGGCCTCAATCTGCCCAAATATTGGACGGTCAAGTCCTTGGAGAAAAAACTGGGGTCTTTCTCTAAATGGAGGGTCAGCTCTTCCCCAAACATCTGCAGTCGAAAGGACAGATGTTGGTCCAGATCCATGTGATAATCGAGGGAATTTTCATTGTCAAACGTGCCAGCTGGGTCTTGACCCCCCAAAATTGAAGTGGCATTCAGTTTTTCAGGATAAACGACTTCTTCATCGTATCTGGTCAAAGGACCCCTTTGGGTTGCTGACCGAGCTGGATTAAAACAGAGGATGAGCAGCAGAAGAAACATGGATATTTTTTTTTTTTAAAAAAAGTCAACTTCAGAAGAAAGGAAGGGATACCCCCCAAATTTCTCTCCTTTGTCAGAGAAAAACCAGGATTAAATCAAGAGATCCCCGATCGTATTAAAATTGCCCCAGGGACAAATGCAAAATAAAATTCAGAATCAAGGTCACCGTAATCCTGTCTTCTCTTTGCTGTTTGCCAACCCGAAGTTGATAAAACTTAACCCAAATTAAGAGGAGGAGGAGAAGAAAAAAAATCAGATCAAACGAGAAGAGATTTTGAGTTGAGTTGCCGAGAGAAATAATTGAAAAATAGAATTTTTTTCCCCCTTTATATATTTTTTTTTCTTCCACTCTTTGGATTTTCTGCAGGATGCAAACGAAGTTTTTCTTGCTGGCTGCTTCTATTCTTCCTTCCAGATCTTAGAAAGCAACAGGAAAAATCCTTATTGTCACCCTTCAACTTGCTTCCCTTTTGAAACGAAGAGTGTAGAATTAGTCCCTGGATAGAAAATAAAGGAATCAACTCAATTCCCGGTTAGTTTTCTCTCCCTTTTTCCCTTTCTGTTTTTTAATCCTCGGGAACTTTCTGAGTTTTGAGACGTGGGGATGTATACATGTCCATATATATATATAATGTGTGTGTGTGTGTGTGTGTGTGTACACTGATTGAATTACTCTGCAATTAGCTCCGCCTTCTTTTCTCTTTCCGTTTTCATTGGCTGCAGGGCTTAGTCAAAAAAAGGATGATGCTGAAAGACGTAAGGCTATGAATAAGAGTTTAAAAGGAGGGGTTTTCCCCTCCTTTTTTTTTTTTTTTAAAAATAATCTTTTCCTCTTTTTGTTTTAAAAAATAAATAAATAAGCGGAGTTGCTGTCCAGCTGTAAGATGATTTAAGGATGGGAACTGCAGATGAGCTGACGGAGATGAGACATACTTTGGGGAAGGGGTGGTGGTGGTGGTGGTGATGGTGTGTCTGTGTGTGTGTGTGTGTGTGTGTGTGTGTGTGTGTGTGTGTGTAAATTGGGATTTTCCTTTTCTCCAGATGCCTTGCAGTTTTGTTTTTTTTCCTGGCTGGACAAAATGTTTGATCTCCCATCTCTAAGGAGAGAGAAATCTTGGAATCGTGGCCTGATGACCTGACCTCTGTCCATCCACGTTTTAAGGGTTCTTGATGGTCAAAAGAGAGGCAATATTTTGGGAATTAAATCCTCCCTCCGTGCATGGATCTGCTCCCCAGTGGAGAATGCAAAACTCTCAACGCTTCTTAAGTTGCTAGTCCACAAGGGTCCGCCTGGAAAGCTTTCAAATTACGCCATAAGTCATTTGACTCCTGGACACCCACCCAGCTCTTTTCCTTATCTAAGTTTTAACAAAAAGATGTTTTTAATTTAAAGACCGATAGCTGGAAATTGCATCTGGCAAAGCCAAGCATCGCCTTGAACCTTATTCTTTATGTAGGCGTCGGCAGCTGGGTGACTTTGGGCCCATCACCAGGAGGCCGTGAGTTCTAGTTCTGACTTAGGTATGAAAGCCAGCTGGGTGACCTTAGGCTAATCACCAGGAGATTGTGACTTCTAGTTCTGGTTTAGGCATGAAAGGCAGCTGAGTGACCTTAGGGCCTAGGCCAGTCACCAGGAGACTGTGAGTTCTAGTTCTGGTTTAGGTATGAAAGGTAGCTGGGTGATTTTGGGCCCATTACCAGGAGGCCGTGAGTTCTAGTTCTGGCTTAGGAATGAAAGCCAGTTGAGTGACCTTAGAGCCTAGGCCAGTCACCAGGAGACTGTGAGTTCTAGTTCTGGTTTAGGCTTTTCTCCCCTAAAAGAAAAAGAAGTGAGCTCAGAGACCCCAAAACTCGTAAAAGCTTTTGAAATCAAGGCATCCCTCTTGGAGATACAGCCATCGTTCCAAAATCAGGAGAACTTCTAGTCCTAGACATTCCCACTCTTTGGGTCATCATCAAAATTAATGTCATTTTTCTTGCCTAGGGAAAAATTGTGAGAATCCTTTTCCAGGCTTCTTTTTTGTTTTTGTTTTTTCGGTGTTGTGCTTTCGCGGTTCTGGGTGACGTGGTCCCCCGGTGACGTGGGGGGTGACGTGTCTTGTGGAACATCGGCTCGTCATTGGGGATGCTGACCCATCCCAGACGGTTCTGGTCAGATGTGGGAATGGGAGGGATGCGTCTCCTCCTTCGACAGCTCTTCCCTACCTTGCCCAGAACCAGGATGGATCTGCTGGGAACAGAGTGTCCCACTTTCTCCCAATTCCCAGGGCTTTCCCAAGCAAACTGGGAAGGAGGCCAGGATCCCAGGGCAGCTGTTTCCAGAGGTTAAGACCCTTGGAAGAAGGAGGAGGAGGAGCAGGCTGAGCTCCAGGGAAAAGTCTGTCTTGAGCTTTGACAGCTGTCTTTTTCTTTCTTTCTTTCTTTCTTTCTTTCTTTCTTTCTTTCTTTCTTTCTTTCTTTCTTTCTTTTTCTTCCTTCCTTCCTTCCTTTTCTCATTCTTTCTCTTTTTTCTTTGTGTCTCTTTCTCTCTTTCTTCCCTCCTTTTTTCTCTTTCCCTCCTCCTCCTTTCTTTCTTTCTCCCCTCCTTTTTCTCTTTCTCCTATTTTTCTTTCTTTTTCTTTCTTTCTTTTTCTCGTTCTTTCTCTTTCTTCTTACTTTGTCTTTCTTTCTCTCTTTCTTCCCTCTTTTTTCTCCTTCCCTCCTCCTCCTATTCTTTCTTTCTTTCTTTCTTTCTTTCTTTCTTCCCTCCATTTTCTCCTTTCCTTCTCCTACTTTTCTTTCTTTCTTTCTTTCTCTTTCTTTCTTTCTTTCTTTCTTTCTTTCTTCCCTCCATTTTCTCCTTTCCTTCTCCTACTTTTCTTTCTTTCTTTCTTTCTCTTTCTTTCTTTCTTTCTTTCTTTCTTTCTTCCCTCCATTTTCTCCTTTCCTTCTCCTACTTTTCTTTCTTTCTTTCTTTCTCTTTCTTTCTTTCTTTCTTTCTTTCTTTCTTTCTTTCTTTCTGTCTTTCCTTCCTTCTTTTTTTCTGTCTGTCTGTCTCTGTCTTTCTTTCTTTCTTCCTCTCTCCTCTTCTTTCCTTCTTCCTCTTACCCCTCTTCACCTTCCCCCCTCCTCTCCTTCTTCTTCCTTTTCTCTCCTCCTCCTCTTCCTTTTCCTTCCTTTTTTCCTTCCTTCCTTTTTTCCTTCCTTCCTTCCTTTAACAACCGTGTTACTAACTTTACAGCTATGGCCAAAAAGATTGTAAAACGGGGCCAAACTCACTTAACAAATGTCTCTAGAAACTTGGGGCTCACTTGTGGTCGTACGTCGAGGACCACCTGTAGATCCTTCTGTGTGGAGAAGAGACCCACTTTTGGAGGGTGGATCCTTTCCAAGCCACCCCTCCCTCCGAGATTCCAGCCCCCAAACAGCTGAAACCGCAGCCCGGCATTCACGAGACCCTGTTGCCGTGAGGTTGGGCCGATGCTTCAGCAATGACTCACATACTCAACAAAGTTCCTATCACAATAGATCCGTGTGGTGCAGCTCTTCGCTGGGCTGCTGTCTCCTCTCGCCTTTGTTTCTCCCTCGTTGTCCTCCGCTGACCCCTGACACATCCCCTCTTTCTCTTCCAGCTGGGTTCCGACTGGGCTCTCGGGGTTGAGAGGGCCTCCCTTGCAGGGCTGTTGGAGACCACGACTAGGGTTGGTCCTCTGAACTGGGCCTTTTGTATACCCCTCTGAGCAGGCCCTGTTACAAAAACCGCATCAAGGATCTGCATAATTTTCTCATCAATGTCCAGTGCGGTGGTCTCATCTTCTTTGCCCATGTTCCACCCTTTTCTCCTTCTTCCGATCCTCTTTGTCCTCCTCCTCCATCTCCATCTTGTCCTTCCCCTTTTTTTCCTCTTCCTCCTCCTCCTGCATGTCCATTTTTCTCCTTCTCCTTCCCCATCTCCATCTTCACCTTCACTTTCTCTTCTGCCTCCTTCTCCATCTTCTCATCTTCTTCATCTTCTCTTCTCCCCCTCCTGCATTTTCTCCTTTTCCATTTCCTTCTCCTCCTTCTCTTGCATGTTCTCCTTGTTCATCTTCTCCTTCTCTTCCTTCTCCTTTCCCATCTTGTCCTTCTCCATCTTCTCCATGTTCTCCTTGTCCATCTTCTCCTTTCCCATCTTGTCCTTGTCCATCTTCTCCTTCTCCTACTTTCCCATCTTCTCCTTCTCCATGTTCTCCTTCCCCATCTTCTCCTTCTCCTTTCCCATCTTCTCCTTCTCCATCTTCTCCATGTTCTCCTTGACCATCTTCTCTTTCTCCTTTCCCATCTTCTCCTTCTCCATCTTCTCCATGTTCTCCTTGACCATCTTCTCCTTCTCCTTCTCCATCTTCACCTCCTCCTCCTCCCTCTTCTCTGCTACTTCATTTCCCCACCCCCCACCCTCCCCGATCTATCAACCTCATGGCTAATTGTTTCAGAAGTGTTTCCTTTGGCTCCTCAGTGTGCCACCCACCCCATCTGTTCCCACAGCCCAGAGGTCCTCTCCTTCCCCTCCCTCAACCTTTTTGAATTTATTTCTTGCTCAGCTGGACCTACAGGAACGAAGAGAGGGATCCTGTTGCAATCTGGATCCCAAAGCAAACTCTTTCTCCGGTGGGGGACGGAAATGCTTTGGCACTTGGGCTGCCAATCTCATTATCGCAGCTTTTGCCCAATTCTCCTTTCTTGGAAATTCACAACCCTCCTGCTTCTCCTTTTTCTTTCCAGCTGAATTAGATCCACTTTTGCATCAGGCAAATCGATGCCCCTGATTTTGCATGGTCCCGAATCCAACTTTCCACCTCTTAGACCGGTAATATAAGTGCCATTTGAAGCCGAGCCAAAGATTGAGGCCCTTTTGAATAGCTCTAGATATCCAGAAGCAAACTGGAATATCTAAGGGGTTGCCCCAAAAGAAGAGGGGGGTCCACCTCTTCTCCAAAGCCCCTGAAGGCAGGACAAAAAGCAATGGATGGAGATTAATCAAGGAGAGAAGCAACCTGGAATTAAGGAGGAATTTCCTGACAGTTAGAACAATTAATCAGTGGAACAACCTGCCTCCAGAAGTTGTGAATGCTTCAACACTGGAAGTTTTGAAGAAGAGACTGGACAGCCACTTGTCTGGAATGGTGGAGGGTCTCCTGCTTGAGCAGGGGGTTGGACTAGAAGACCTCGAAGATCCCTCCCAGCTCTGTTATTCTGTGATTCTAACTCCAGAAAGCAAGACAAGAAGCAACGGATGGAAACGGGTCAAGGAGAGAAGCTTTCTCGCTTAACAAACGCAGGGATTCGCTGAACAACGGCGGCAGGAAAAATGGCAAAACGGGGCAAAACTCCCTTCGCAAAGGTTTCGCTTAGCGACGGACATTTCCGTGGCCGTAACTCAAGGATGACCTGCATGGTTTCGGCCCTGAACTAAACACTCTCAACTGTGGTGCTCGCTATTGTCCTGTCTATTTATTGGCCTATATTTGGAACAGAATCTGGGCCTGGAAAAGTGGATCTGGAAGGATCATCTTAGTCGGCTTTTCCCCCCGGGCCTTGCAAAGGAAGCAGAGAGGGTGGTGTGGGGGGAATCTGATTATTCACGCAGCTGCGAAAGGAAGCCCTCGCCATCCGTTCCAGAACCAAACTTCACTTCCGCCCATTCCGCACACAGAGCTTGTTCCATTTTTGAACCCAAAAAAGAGCGGTGATTCACAGCCTTACAGAACGAACGA